AAAGCGATTTATTTATTTTTTTTTTAGTTTTTAAAGATTTATTTTATTTACTTGAGGGGGGGGGCAGAGGAGGAGGGAGAGAATCCCAAGTAGGATCCCCACTGAACACGGAGCCTACCAGGGAGCTCAATCCCACAATGCTGAGATTATGACCTGAGCCGAAATCGAGAGTCAGATGCCCATCTGACTGGGCCACCCAAGTGCCCCTTGGCCAAGGCAATTTAAAGTAACTTAAAACAGTTAATAGGTGACCATTAAGTTTACTTTTTTATTTATTTCAGTTATGAAAAAAAAAACCCTATCCTAATTTATGGTATTAGATTTTCTGCATATCCTTTGTTTACCATCCCGGTCTTTAGGTTGTCAATGCAATGAAAATAAGTAATTAAATTAAATATAAATGGGATTTGCTACATGCGAATTTCTTACAAATATAATAATTCCTTTCTCCCCTTTCTGTCTTATGACTTATAACACATAACAAAAGCCATGAAGTATAATTCATGAAGGATAATATAGTCTGAATTAATGAAAACTCTGAATTATTGATTACCTGTAAAAATTCTCAGTACACAGTTACCTAAGTATACTTGCCAGGAACCCTCTGCTTTGGGTATGTGGCAACCAGTGGGGTTGGGGGGACAGGTTCTGTGGGTGTCCTGATACTATCCCACCCTCCATCCCATGTAATTATAATGGGCAGATTATTTCCCTTCCTAGTGCCCCATCTTGCCCCCACTTCTCAGAGTGTGCCTGAAAAAAGATTGCACAATTGCATGAAAATTCAGGACAATACTTTTATTCTTTGACAGTTCATCTGCCTCTGCAGATCTGGTTTGCCTACTATGTAGGAGAGATAGTAACGAACCCAGGAAGTTCTTCTTTCCAGGAAAATTAAATATGTGGACAGAGGTCCCACGTTAACTGTGATACAAAGGTGCCTATGAATCAAGGAGGTCCTGGTTTTTCTAGAGGGCAATGCATGTGTGATTTTACATAGAAAGTCCATTGCCAGTTACCTGGCGTCCTAAGTTTGGGGACAGCTATAGGTCAAAAGACCCAAGCTCCCTTGGACTCGCTTACCAGAGAGACTGGATGAGTCATTCTCTCCATAAATGTGGTTTGCATTTTATGGTGCCCTGTTAACTTGTTTCAAGCACTGATTGATGGGTTCTCTGACAAACACACTGAAATGTGATCCAAACAGTAAGAACTTGTTCTGATTACCAAATTGAGAGACAATGGAACAGTGACATTTGTGATTTATTGTTGCATTTTATTTCCTGGCACTCACTTTAGCGATGAGGTGATCTTTGTTTATATGCATTATGAGAACAATCCTTTCCCATGGATGTTTAAGAGTGTGTTTATTTTGTGTAATAACTTCAGTGCTGTGAGTTCAACCAAGCTGACTACGCTGTGCAGTGCTGTTGAGAGCGCATGTTACACGTGGATTTGTTTGGTTTTTGTCTTAATCATGAATAAAGAAAAGATGTAAAATAAATTCAGATTATTTTCTCCACTAATTTTTCAAAAACACATGAACATAGTTGATACTCAGAGCCAGAAGAGCCAAAGGTTATGAACACAGCCTGTGGTGCCAGTAAGAGCTGGTTCACATCTTGGCTCTGTCACCTGCTACAAGTGTCAACACACGCTGGCTACCAAGCTCTTCTAAGCCTCAGTTCCTTGTCTATAAAATGGAGATACTAAGAGTCGGTGCTGCACAGAATTTGTCCTGATAAACAAATGCAGGCAAAACAATTAACAAAATACCAGGCATGCATAATGCCTGGATAAACATTAGTTATTACGATGATTATTACTTTTTTTTATTTAAAAATAATGACACAGCATGCACACCCTTTCATTTGGGTTAGTAGTGAACAACAACAACAAAAAAGTGTTTGCTGAGAAAATGTAAAGAGAAATGTAAAGCAGTTCACAAAGGAATGGTCATAGAAAATAGACCCTTTAGCAATGTAAATCTTTTCACCTGAAATAGGAAATGAAAAAGCTCAATTCTGAAATGTGTCTCTTTGAAGACCCTTCAGATAGTTCCAGTTGTAAAATTTGTATAAGAGAATGAAAGCGTAGCCTATTCCACTCATTTTAACAAATGCTCTTTTCCTTTGAAGTTGTACATTTGAAAGTCTTCATACCAAGAAACATGTTATGATTAAGCAGGAGCAATTACCACCTATTTAATTTGACCTATTATAGTGCAATGAGAACATTTTATAACAAAACTCTGGTGTAAATTAAAAATTAAGATCAGTCCTAGTTAGTTAAAAGAAATAATAAACTTTGTATCCAGTGTTTTTAGGGGAAAAAGAGAAAAAATAGATGTGAAAATTTCACTGTACATGTATTAGAGTTTCGACTAGAAGCTTATACTTCTAAATCATTGCAAAGACATTCAGGTAATCGCTACACAAAGTTTTGTAATTGCAAGGGACTATTAAAATGTATAAATCTTTTCTGCAAATATTTACTTGTAACTGTAAAAAATTAATGGCTTGGGAGCTGAATTTGAAGAATAGTAAATGTATCTCCAATTAATCTTGGTACCAGAAATAAAGTAAACTTCGAAAGAAACATAGCATAGTCTCTTTTTGCCCAATAAATACACAAGAGGACCTGCAGCTTTAACCCTAAAATGCACCAAGCTTTATTAAACTGGAGAATTTTGCTTAATTTTTCTAACGAGGTCTTGGAATTCCTAATGGCAGTGCCAAACTTCAGAAAAAGAATCTTCTACATCTCATGATACGTTCTCTAGGAATGCAACTCATAGACATAAGTCTATAACTCAGGTGTTACTTTCTTTTTAAAAATAAAAATCATAGACATATAATTCCATGTTCTAACACAAAGGGTCCCGCCTTCTGATAGTCTCACAGAGTAATAGGCCTTCTGACCCCTTCCTCTAGCTCTTCCTTTACCACAACTTCTCATTTAAAAAAGAAAAAAAAAATGAAGTTTCCAACTTGCTTCTTAAACTAACAGAAACTACCAGGGCTCTATTTTTCTAAGTATTTACTCTGTATCTCAAAGGGATAGACTCAAGTAAAAAATACACGTGGAAAACACACAACATCCACATTTGGAAGATGCCACTTGCAGCTGGGATCTCAGAGGAAAACTTTACTTGTACACTATTTAAAATTCAGAACTTTTGCTGGTTGTATTTTGAAGCAGCTCGTAGATAAAATAGACACTAGTCTGCCACATATAAAACTGTATTTTTTAACATTATCTAGTAAATGGCAACTGATCCTGTTTCAGTTGGAGAAACCAAGGCATAAAAGTTTGAGTGACTAACGAGAGAAGTGAAAGCAAGCTTTATTTCTTCGTGGTCCCCTTAATGGGTGACTCTAGGCTCCCCTTTCACATTAATAAGTAAGGCGATCGTAAGTCAACTCAATATAAATTAAAAATTACCCTTTCGTTCTAAAATTCACTTCTTTTCCTATGTGAACAGGGTACTGTCCAATAATGTAAGAATTAATTGCTAACTTCTCATGTCTAATAAAAGAATTAGAAAGATGAATAAGATAAATTGAGTTGAATGGAAAGTAATTGATGATATATAGTTAAGACATTTAAAATCACTCAGGAGTGTGAAGATACAGAAAACCAAGCTAACCTAAATGTAGCGTGTGACTAATGTAATAAGCTGATGCAGAATTCACCAGAAACAGCGTTGTTCATTACTTTTTTGAAAAAAAAAAAAGACATTTTTTTCTTAAATTTTGTATGATCCTAAACAATTATTAGATTATGGATCTTTTAAAATGAAAATTGAGACTTGTGACAGGGGCACCTGGGTGGCTCGGTCCTCTTGATTTCGGCTCAGGTCATGATCCTGATCTTGGGGATCGAGCCACCTGTCAGCCTTGGCACTCAGTGGGGAATCTGCTTGAGATTCTCTCTCTCCCTGCCTCTGCCCCACCCGTCCCCCATGCATGGGGTGCACTCTCTCTCAAAAAAATTTTTTTTAAATGGAGATCTGTGAAATGTCCCATAAATGTTCATTGCATTATGCCTACAACTTAATATGCACTTATATAATTCATATAGGAACATGTAACACAATACATGATGTATAAGAAAAGATAATGATTCAATTTCATTATGATTATTGGTGTCAATTTCTGGTAAAAGCAGTCTCAGATTTTTTTTAAGATTTAATTTAAATTCCAGTTAATTAACATACAGTATTTATTCGTTTCAGGTGTACAATACAGCGATTCACTTCCATACGTCACCTAGTGCTCATCGCAACAAGTGCCCTCCTTAACCCCCATCCCTTATTTCACCCATCCCCCACCCACCTCCCTTCTGGTAACCAGCAGTGTGTTCTCTATAGTTGAGTCTGTTTCTTGGTTGGCCTGCCTTTCACTCTCTTTTTTTCCCCTTTGCTTGTTTGTTTTATTTCTAAAATTCCACATGTGGTATCTGTCTTTCTCTGACTGATTTCCCTTAGCATAATACTCTCTAGCTCTATGCATGTTGTTGCAAATAGCAAGATTTCATTCTTTTTTTTTTTTTTTTTTTGATGAGTAGTATTCCATTGTGTATATATACCACATCTTCTTCATCCGTTCACCAAGCTACGGCCCTTGGGCTTTTTCAAGAATTCAGCTATTGCAGTTTAAACATTTGAGAAATTCAACGCCAATGCATTTCTGTTGTGATGAGCACTGGATGATGTATGGAATTGTTGAATCACTACATTGTACACCTGAAACTGATATAACACTGTACATCAACTATCCTGGAATTAAAATCAAATGGATAAAAAAAAAAAAGTAAAGGCACCTGAGTGAAAGTTAAGGATGGACTTTAACATGAAAAGTATGCATGTGCAATATTGCATTTCTCATATCAGTGTTGTATTCCATAAAAATAGCTGGATCGTCTTTCAACTGTAAATATTTCACACAAATATGTTGACATAATTCTATTTTCACCTATGAATATTAATATATATGGTATTTGTTTAAAGATGTTTATTTAAATTCAGCTGCAACAAACATAATTCTTGGTCAAAAGTATCAAGCAATGAATTTCACATATTATACAGAGGATAAACCCAGGCTGCAAAATTATAAACACCGTGTGAATCTAACAAGATAAGCTTGCTTGAAAATTTTAAATTAGATTAAATGAGCTTGAAAGATATGAACTAAACGCTAACATATGGAATATAAGATTTCCAAATGTTAATTTAGTTAACTTTCTTGTAGTAACCACACACACACATACTATTTTTATGTCTATTTCTAGAAGTAAACTAGTAAACTATAAGATATATATGAGTAGAACAAGGAGGACATCTTGAGGTCATTCTAGAAATGTACATTTTATCCTTAGAGGCCACACACAATTTATGATTTAAAAAGTAGGTCCCGTAAACTAACTTAATATGTTCTGTATAAAATGTATTTTTTCTTCAAAAAAAGGGCAAGGTTTCTCAAAAGCATTTAAATTCACTTAAAAGCAACCCCTCTCTCTCTTTCTGTTGCTGTCTCTGTCTCACACACACACAGACACACACACCCAAAGACTACAAAGAAGTTATTTTTTGCTAAGTGATAGGTAAAATTTTAAAATATGCATAAAACTGTACAAAGTTTTTAGCAAAATTGTCTTAAATATGTTTCTACAGTAGTAAAATAGAAGCTTCTCAAATATTGGTCCAAAGTACTGCATTAATCCACTGTATATCTATTTTGTTCTCCTACTCCTAAAAAACCAGAAATAACACCTAATACATTGCTTGAGTCCTGTATATGTCTTTTCCTATGCATTTTGAGTTAAACCTGGACTCGCAGGACCATTGGCAGAATGTTCTGGCTCCTCAGGGCTACTTGTGACTTTAGTACCTTCATCTTCTTTGTTTCCTTCATTGGTCTTATCAGGAGCACCAGGAGAACTAACACAATTAGCATCCTGCTTTGCTTTGTTCACCAATTCGTTAGCAAATTCAACTTTATCATCCTGATTGTTGCTTTTCTTTATTTGTCCATTCTGGGCAGGATAGGTGCTAGCAATGACATCATAGAGGAATTGGTATTGCTCCTGGTAAAAAGAAAGAAGCAAGAAAGCATATGTAATTATGAAAAAGAAAGTGTATGTGATGATTTTTTATGTCAAGTGAAAAGCAGCAAGAACTGGTCATTGACTTGAAAGTCTTGGATAACAGGAACTACTCTATGTTGTTATCAAATGAGCATTTTAAATGGCCTAGTCCCCTTAAAGTTCTAAAGGCCCGACTGCGGGTAGTCCTCAAAGTTTGCCGTGGAGCAACATCAAGCATGTTCATACCCCTCACGCACCACCACGTGGTGTCTCCTTTCCATGGCCCACGAGGCCACTTTTTGTGCTTCTCTTCTTGGTTAAGGCCTATGCATCCTTCATCTAAGTATCGTAGCAGAAGTCACTTGCTTCCGGAAGCCAATCCGGGTAGCCACAGATTAAATTCGGTGCTGTCATTCAGGCTCCTCGCATAATCTCTCTGTCATTTCAATTACTACACTGTTTAGTAAATCTTTGCCTTTTCCTCACACTAAACTGTGCGTCTCTTAATGGCAAATGCACATAAGAGGCACTCAGTGCACTTTTAAAATCAATTATATGCCAGCTCAAGGTCCTGCCCGATTACATGCTGCAGAGATCTGAGTGACTGGTTAAATTGATATGGTGACTAGTTATGCCTTTCCAGACTACCCTCTACAGACGATCCATGTTAGCTTGACTACAAAAATGCCACGCTCATTATCCTCTGTGTCCACACCTGTTTGCAGTGTGGCTTTGCAGACCCTTTCAAGGAGAGGTGGAGCCAACTTTCCCATTCCTTGAATCTGAGCTGGCCTTGTGACTTGTTTAGATAAGGAAAATGCAGAGGAAGGCAGGTTGGGCCAGTTCCAAGCCTGTACCCAAGAGTTCTCACACACAGCTGCCTACTTCTTGGAACTCGGTTGCCTTTATATGAATATACCTAGGCCAGTCTTCTGGAGAAGGAAAGACCTGCTGTCCACCCACCTCCGTTGCCGGAGCTAAAAGCTAGCAGCCACCATCTGTTGGTAGTAGGGATCATTTTGGACAAGCCAAACCCTAGCAGACACATCAGCCGCCGCAAAACTATGAGCAAGCCTGGTCCAAATTGGCTGAAGTTGATATTGGCAGAATTATTCAGTTGCTCCAATAGGCTATTGAACTATAATAATTTATTTTCTGTCCCTAATTCTGGGGTGGTTTGTTACATAGCAATACACATTAATACAGGAGTGAAGATGGAGGAAATTAGGGAATTCATGGACATTTGAAGAAACGTTCTCCGTGGATTGCCACAACAAGTTGCTGGCAGGCTCTAATTAGTTCTTTTATTTATATTAATAATGACTTCATGTGACTTATGTAGAAAAGGAAGATAGAAAAGAAGACTAGAAAGGTGGATGGAAGGGAAGAAAAGGAAGTAGAGGACTGGAGAAGAGGGAGAGGAAGGAAAGAGAGAAGAAGCCATCAAAATAAGAATGCAAAACACTTCAAAAGCAACTGTGAGGTCTACTTACAAACGTGGGAACCATTCCTGGTCTAGCTCTGCGGAGAGATTTTACTACTTGAAAAACATCTATTACTTCTTCTGTTTCTGCGCTTTCCAAGAGATTTAACAAAGCACAAAATAGTCCTGTTTGCTGAGATCCATCTCTATAAAAGGAAGAAAAGTTTTAAAAGGAAAATAATCCTACATTTTATGGAGAAAGTCATATGAGAATAAAAACTGAAAGAGATGGAATGCATTCCTCACTTCGGGTTTATTGTAGTTATATTATTCCAATCTCTTAAGAGCAACACATTTCTGCTAAAAGCATTATTTGGACAAACTTTTTCAGTTTGAGACTATAATAATCCTATAGTTAAAAAAAAATACTTGTCTCAGGCTTTAAAAATATTTTGTTTTCTTCTGTTTAGTACCTTATGGGTTATAATGCATTTTAATTTACATCTGGAGTTGTAAGGAAGTTGCTAGGACAAGTGCCAGAATGCCAATTTGACAGATGAGGACGTCAAGATTTAGGGAAGATAAAGACATGCCTAGAAATCAATAAAACCAGAAATACTGGACCCAATATTTTGTATATTGCTAGATCGCCTGCTTTTTCTACTTTATTCTGCCTCTCTCATGCGTTTTCACAAATGTCCAGATTTCTGCGTCAATAGAAAGATGATACGTAGTAGAATTATTCATTAAAAAGAGGACAACTCAATGATTTACTTAACTGTAGGTAAGTACATTATAATAAAGATTCAATGTAGAGAATATGTTATTAGCAAGATTTTACTTATGGCACGTAAATTTAGTTAAAGGACATAAAATAGGCTTTCAGCCATATCCTAGGAAACACATATAGTTTTAAAGCTTAACCTTGCCTTCTTTAGCTTTCTTTCTGCATAAATTTTCACCTTTGAAAATGCTGATAAAGGCTGAAAAATAGTGTATTTCTAAGGACTTGATAATAGTGTATGCAATTCTAATAATAGTAATACTAATAACAAAGCTTTCTCAAAAATTCTAAAAGCATCTTGCTAAATTTACATTTCTCATTTTACTTTATATTTTTCATTTTGCACTTACTTTAATATGTTTTATGTAAACATTTTATATTATGCATCCTTCTTTCGATATCTCTTATTTAAGGTAGGTACGTAGGCATCTCTCACAGATGAAAGTTAAGAGCCTACGGAGCGGAAACTAATAAGGTCAAAAATTATACATATTATTAAAGTCTTTTGGGTGAATACATAACTTAAGAAATGTTTACTGAAGGAAAGCATTCGTTCTTCTGGATTCTGTTAGCACCTAATAGGGTGGATCAATGCACATAAGCATAAATAAAATGCGGGATCCATCCATCTGTTCCCGCATCCTACCATTCATTCATTAATTCACCCAGGACACATGACATTCCAGATTCAATGTTGGGCACTGGGAGTCAAAGATGAGGTGACGCTGGCATTAAGAAACTTATAAACACTAAAACTGTAGTATAATCACCGCTCTCATATTTCTATATAGTTAAGCTGTGGGAGTGAAACAGAGAGAGGGACGCCACAAGAGGCTTTCACTGTGGTCATGCATTTTATAGGTCAGGATCAAGAGAATTTAACAGGAAGTGTAAACCATGAAGTCAAGCATTGTGATGATTTTTAGAGAATATCTTATCAAATCCCACCCACCTGCAGTGAATGAGGAGAGGCACATTCTTGTGATGCTTATTCCCTTCAGTGGAATTCTTGGGAGATTTTTCTTTGAGAGCCTGAATCATAGAGATTAGCTCTTTGGGTTCTGCAGGAAGCTCATCCACATTCCAGTTATTATATTGGTACTGGTACACAGTCCGAGAATCTTTCCTCTAAAACCAGAAAAGAAGGGAACGTGAATTCAAGTCAGGTTCAGTCCATTTAATAATTTGATAGTCACACTTTGGCCACAATTACTTTCTTTTAACTCCTCTTAAAGTTTGATTCTGAAAACAGGTGGATTTTCCTTTGCTTTTAGAGAGTAATTTACATTCGTTTCTCTAGAAGATCAATTCCCAGATCAAAAATAGGTAATCCTGAAATGATTTACGTACCTTGGAATGTCTCAGTTCAAATACACGGAGGGTATAAGCTGAAGATTTGTTGGTCTCTTTCATATCAACTTGTACATCTCCATATGTTTGCTTTCCTTCTCCCCAGTACTGAGCACAGGCTTCCTAGATAAGAAAGAATATGATTCAACAACTTCCACACAAGTGTTCTGCTTGCTTTTTAAGGTATTCAGTGCACCTCTTACTGTCTCTGTCTCTCTCCCCTCTCTCTTTCCCTCTATTTTATTAAATGGAAATGACTAACTGTCTTCTAAAATGGAAAGCTGGCCATAAAACTCTAAATCTACCTTAAGTATGTGGGGCGTCCACTCCACGGTACCTGGTGTTTCCTTGTGCAAATCAAGGGAACTGAGGAATAACCAAAGTGGCCAGGACACCACAGGGATGGCTCTGTCACCACAGGTCTCAAAGACCTCTTTGAGATTTGATTCTTCCTTCCATACCCTTATTATCACCTCTTTAAGATTTATAGATTGAGCTGGTGTTGATCGTGACCACTGCAATCACAAGTGTCACTGCCCCTCCAGTGGTCCTTGAGAAAGCATCTTTGGGAGTTTTGTCTCTGTACCTTGAGGACCATCACCCTGAGCAGCTTTATATGAGCTGACTGCGTACCTAAGTAAAGGGTCAGGCTGAAGAGCAAGTGGATTACAAAAATGTGTTCTCTCTCTGCAAATGGTCCTACACCAACTACAGTCTCACAACCGCTGACAGCAACAAGTGTTCCTGCCTAAACCAGCATTTGGTACCTGGCTTTCACAATTTATTTATTTTATATTTATTTTATTTTATTTTATTTTATTTTATTATTTTATATTTTATTTTGGCTTTCACAATTTAGATGAAAGAAAAGATTACTAGAATTCCATGCCAGAAATCTGAACATGTTATTTCTTTTTTAAAAAAGAAAAAAGAAAGAAAAGAAAAAGAAAACCTAAAATAAAACAGGTCCTATGTTCAGGGGTAGGGAATTAAAGAAAAGAAAGAAGGAGAAGGCATGTTTATGAGCGTATTCATTAAATAGGATTTAACATATGCCACATAATGTGCCACAACTATGGAGCGTCTATTACCAATGAGATTTTGATAACTCAAGGTATTAAGGAAAAGATCAAATACACAGCTCAGGCATTAAGCAGATCAGATGAGATCTTAGGCTCACCTCCAACTTCATGATTATAAATATTATATGAACATAAAGAAGGCATTTTGTAGATAAATCTTTCAGGAGTTCTATTTAGCTAGAAGAAAAGGATCAAAATGGGAATAGAGGACACATTTAGACATATGGAATGCCAGTAAATTAAGTCTCAGTGATGAAAATGAAATGGTGTCAAGATTCAGTCAGGAAATCTGCTTCTCCAGAATAGAAATTATGGAAAACATTAAAAAAATGAAGAAAATGGAATGATATATGAGGGTCTGGTTATTGAGGATCTTAAATATCACACTGAGGAGTTTGGTTTTCATTTGAAGAAAATAGAAGGAAAATGTGTCTGTTGCTTGTTTGTAGCAAGCAGTGATGCTGGGCTTGCTGTGCACTAGACGATCCACAGACGGTGTGTAGGACCAGAGAAAGGAGGGCGGGAGAACCCAGACATGAGATGCCAACTGCCAACACTTGGATGGAAGATGGGAAGAATGAACAAAGGCAACTTTGTGACACAAGGGTCAAAAATCCTAGGGTAGAGCAATCAAGCAATACGAGAATGGAGAATGATATTTTATGACAGAAAGACAAAAAATATATATATATATTCTTAAAGACACAAACCTGGTCTCCATCCTTCAGCTGTGTCAGCATAACAATGACTTTGACTTTTCTTTGGAATATCATCTGCCAGAAGTCACCAATGGTCTCTTTTAGGGGTCCCTGAGCAGCAATCATCACTTCAGGTTTCCAGTAACTCTTTAAAAAGAGAGGGAGAAAAAGATTCTGTCACTCTCGCTCACTGATGAGAGAGCAATGGATTCTTAAAATAACCATTTGAAAATATCGTCACTTAATTTGATACCAATGTTGTTACATAAAAACCCTAAGATCCTTAGGCCCAAGAAACAGTATGATGTCTATACTTACTTAATTAATATCTTATTTCATTAATGATAATACTTAGCTAATAATATGAAGTCAAGTTTAGAACATCTTAACAAAACAAGTTTTTTTCCAAAAAGAACTAAAAAAAGTAAATGTGGTTGTAAAAAAAATACATAATTATTTGATCCTCATCATGTCTCTAGTTGATGTCTACACAGTCTTATGATAACTTATATTTATTTATTTATTTATTTTTGATAACTTAGATATAAACTAATATTCTATAAGTGTGTTTTAGAAAAATTTGGAAAATAAATCCAACTTGGTATATATGCAAAAAGTATTTTTCCTTGTTAGAATTCTATTTATTAAAAAAAGAAAAAAAGGTTATGTGACACAGACTCATCTAATAGTTTAGATAATCTGAATGAAATTTTTTAGCTATGCAAATATGCAAATTCTTACTTGCCTACAATTTGTGTATCTGAGTAAGTATAAACATTTTCAAATACTTGTATTTTCTCAAATTGTATTATTTTTCAAATTCGTATGAAGAGTCCTATGGGTCCATCAATTGTAACTAATAAGCATTGTCTTATTTCATATCAACACATTAAGTTTTAATATCTTTAAGTCTTTCAGTAAGTTAAAATATAGTATTAAAAATTGAGGGACACCTGAGTGGCTCAGCGGTTGAGCATCTACCTTCGGTTCAGGTCATGATCCCAGGTCCTGGGATCGAGTCCCACATCGGGCTCCCTGTGAGGAGCCTGCCTCTCCCTCTGCCTCTGTCTCTGCCTCTCTCTCTTTCTGTGTCTCTCATGAATAAATAAATTAAAATAAAATTGAAACTTTTGTATCAATCAATATATAGTTATGGCCAAGCTCATCATTCTTTTAGAAAATCACTTAATGAATGGCCATAAAAATATAGATTTTTTTTACGATGTATTTTAAAATACATTTTTTAAAGGGTTAGATCTTGGGCTTTGGAAATTTAAGTACCTACCATTACAAAAGACGCATTGATGTATCTACTTGTTTCCTCTGAGTCACTGTCATCATCAGAAGATTCATCTGAATCATGCTCACTCTCTTTGCTCATCTCCAGTTCATGTTTAAGTGGCACTCTGTTAAAGTCATCTATGTAAGATAAATTAGTAGTAAGTCTTCTTTAAAAAAATTCAAATCTCTGCTTGATTGTCATGTGAAATTAAAGAAGTGACAGATTGTATTATGCAAATGTACATGAAATGAGACCCTACATAAAATTCAGTTCATATTGATTAACAAATTATAAAAAAGAAATCTAAGAAAAAGAAGCTTTCAAAAAAGTTCCTAGAAAAAAAATGGGATAAAACACCATGTTAAACAACAAATAGATATCATAATATTCCATATGATCGCTCAATCTTTGACACACCTACTTTCATTTTCCATGAAATATCATCATTGTGCTAGATATGTTTAAAAATACATATATAAAATTTTAAAAATACATAGCTTAGGTAAAAAATCTAATTTCTCTATTATATCCTACTAACAGCAAATTAACAACCTTAGTTAAATAGGTATCTCAGTTGATTTATTATTTGATCAAAAAAATTATTTAGTCCATAATTTCTCACTGTTTTTCTAGTTCTTTAGTCTATAATACCCTGATCAAGTGATCTGATTAGCTACATCACCATCAATTCCAGATTTTGAATGCATATTTATAAGGACTTCAGAAATTAACTAGGTCAACCAATCTTTAATATGATGCATTTGGTTGTCTAGTTGATTAGCTTGGGTTATATTTTCTCCATGCTAATTTTAGTTTATGCAAATGAATAAAATTAAAGTTGTACCAGATATAGTACTATAGTATTCTTAGGTAACAGAATTCAAGTATTGAAATTGTACTTTTGTTGATCTACTAAACTTGATGATTAACAGTTTACATGGTACTTTTTATCTACGGTTAATCTCCCAGATAGGAGGAAGGGATAAAAAGAAAACAGAAAGGAAAAAAGGAAGTAATGTTTGCTATTGGCAATTCCCCTGAAGCAAATACCTGAAATTAGCTAAAGATGAGAGAGGACTAGTAAAGAGGACTTGGCCTTTTTCCTCTCAGCTTCAGAGGTTATGTCTTTCTGACAGCCCATTTCTAAAATAACTGGTAGAAGGAAAATACTGGATTCAGTTTATCCTCCAAAGTCTATTGTAAAGGTTTGGGGTGAAAAGTATTTGCTATAATTAAATTTAAATAGACAGTTATTTTTTACTGTCAACCCAATGTTGAAAACTTGCTTCAAAATCATTTGTGTGTGCACATCTTACATTAAACATACCTGAAAAAGAGTTTAATTTTATCTGATACTAAAAAAAAAATAACATAAAATACTCTACATACATGGAATGATGTAAGAATTCCTGTTTTTGCTTTTATTTTGTTCTTGATTTCCAACATGCTGTGTCCTCCAGCTCCTATATGAGGGAAGTCTCTGAGAGTGAGAAAATAGAATGGAACACCATTGTTAAGATGTGAGTTGTGGTTTTGTTTATTACTGTGGCCAAAGATGTTCCCTAAAGAAAAGTATGTCATTAAGGTTTGTGAAATTTGTATGCATTCCTTATAGTTCATAATTTTTAAGTTTGCCTCTGAATTTTTCCTTTTATTTTTTTTCAGGCATTTAATATTTTTGACATGGCAAGTTTGGACCCAATGCATCCAATTTTATAACAAAATAGGTTTCCTACTTAAGAGCTGCTGGAGAACAAAACAGTATGGTTTGTTCTTGTACAAGTTGAAGCACTGTACAGATGTTGATGATTATCCATATTGCAGCGGTACATCATTGTAAATGATGAGTAATAAACTCTCCAGATACAGAAGGCTTGGCTCGTGCTTCCAATAATTGATACTTCATTGGTTTATGCCTTCCCTACTGCTTTCCCTCCCATTTACAGTAGCTAATCAGTCAGCAAGACATCATTTCTGCTGGTGAGGTTCTCAAATCCTCTAGCTTTCCCTCTACTTGGTACGTCCCACATTCATTTCTCACTTGACAACATCAACAGTTTCTTAACTGGCCTCTTGATCTTCAATCTCACCTGCTCTAATCCTAACTCTGGGAAACGAACTAGGGGTGGTGGAAGGGGAGGTGGGCGGGGGGTTGGGGTGACTGGGTGACAGGCACTGAGGTGGGCACTTGACGAGATGAGCCTTGGGTGTTATTCTATATGTTGGCAAATTGAACACCAATAAAACATAAATTTATAAAAATAAAAAATAAAAAAGAAGTAAAAACTAAAAAAAAAAAAAAAAAAAAAAACAAAAAAACAAACCAGAGTCCCACGGAGGATCCTCAGCAGTCTGCCTTCATCGGTAGAAAGTGTTCAACTACACAAAAAAACTTTTAGGGGTGCATTCTTGATGGTCAGGACAGCCTCACCCTTTGATGGTCCCCTTCCACCTCAGCCACATGACCTCCTCAACTCTGGGAAGAGGCTGAGTTGTCTGTTCACTCCGTGTGTCCTGTGCCCACCCTTTTCCCTTATTGTCGCTCTGCTAACATCTACTTGCCTTTGAGCTATCAGTGTGAATGTCATTTCCTCTGGACGATCTCTCAGCCTACAGCCCTTTCTTCCCATTGGTCCTTAAATAAATATTTGTCATGCGGATGAATAATCTAAACCAAAAGACTGCATCATATATAGTTTAGTAGGATTTTATACACGCACAAACACACGTGCATATGGATGTATGTGTGGTCTATATATGTATCTTTTAACATGGTGCGCTCTTTGAAACTAAACATGGCATCCTGTTTCAAACCCCATGCATTGCTGTGTCACCGAGTGAAGACCTCATCATGGAATACCAGGCCACTTGAACTCACCCCAATGAACTGCATGGAGGCTGACTGCCTTGGAAGGCATCACACTTTTTGCTTGTCAAAATGGTCACCCAGTGGCCCCTGCCCTCCCACCAATACCCAGTATTATAGATAAAGCCAAAGGCTTACCTTCATTTAAGACACAAATGGTTTTTCACACCTCAGTCCCTGCAACAAGTCTCAGCCCCCAATGCATTGTATTTGCTAGAGCTCTATTACTGAATAATTACCTAGATGGTCATCCTCAAATGCAACTCAGTCTCTTATATCTCACCAGTCTCTGGTACTCAGGGTCTGTCAGCAGCAAACTGCTATCCATCTTAATGCTTATCTCCCAACAGGTCCCTTCACCTATCATTTCTTGGGGGAGGGGGAGGAGGAAGAGGAAGGGAAAGGGCGGGAGTGGGGGCCTGTGCACCAGGTGAAACCTGAGTGTCCCTTGGGAACACCACCAAAAATGCAACAGTAGCTCTTTTTAAAAAACACTGAATTCCCCACTTATATCCCATATATATCACATCTAATGTGCTGTTTCTACGTGTAAACCGTTTCTATTCATTTCTCCTTCAAAAAGCCCAACTGCTTTGATTTTTCCCAACATCATGCCACATTCCTTTGGCTTTTCTTAGAGGCTTCAGGTACTGATTACTGGATAACTCCACTTCACTTAGTTTTAGATTTGCCTAATTTGTCTCCCCAGATCTGTCTGTCATCATTCTTAGTTACTTCAACATCGACAAGGATGATCTATGCAACATTCTGGTCCATTCTTAGCTTCTTTACCTCTTATCATCACCCTTCCCTCCACTCTTCTGCCATTCACTTTCTCCATCTAGCTTTGTAAGAATCATTTCAAACATTCATTTAAAAATTACAATTTCAACCATTTCATTATTGAAAATTACCTCTTCTCCCTACTCCTTTATTCTAGTATCTTCAGCCTCTCAAGGTGGGATTCTATCAAAACCTTCCACATACTGGCCTTACTACTTTCCTTATGGACCCCATGCCCTTCTCTGGCCAGTTTTCTCTGTATCATCCACCACTATATCATTCATGCGCAAATACCCCCTATTTGTCTGTCTCCAACTTTCAGTCACTTTAAGAAATTCTAGATGAGTTTAACCCAACTATCTGTATACACAGCCCCTATTTTCAATGTTTCTGTAGAAAACAATAAAACCAACGGACTCTCTTTAAATTCATGACCATACATTTCAAATGACCCAGCAACAATTTCCAGCAATCCACTACCTTTGTCTAGGGAGACTGCTTTCCTACGTTGATATAACTGTTTCATATACTTTTCCCTTCCTCAAGCATGACTTCTTCTTTGCCCTACTCACTCCTGTCCCCTTGAACTTTTAACTGATGATTTTGCTTCCTACTCTCTCTAGAAAGAAAGACAATTGACAAGAACTGTCTTAACTTCCTATCACCAGATCTACCAAGTAACTTACATCTCTCCTCTTATTTTCTGTCTTCCTTTATGAATAATTTCACTGTTTCTATCAGTTACAGTCAGTACCTGTGACCTGAGTTACACTCTATCACCATGTCTACCTGCAAACCACTTTGAATCTTGTGCCCAGACCTGTACTTGACACAGAGCAAGTACCAAGTCATATTTGTTCAGTCACAGAATTTACTCTTTTCTTTAGCGACTTTACATATGAATGTTCAAGTTACAAGTATTTACAAACAGTATCTAAGTTTACGCAGTTTAGCAGGGTGAGCGTACTGAAATGTGGTTGACGTGTCAGCTAAAAGAACAAGAAAACAACAATTAAACGTCCTTCTACTCAAGACTACTCTGGGAGCCTGCTAGTTCCTCCAGGATACCATGGTCTTCGGGTGGATTGTGCTACGTGGTGATTAGTGTATGCTCCACCTCCACCAGCACCCCCCCCTTCATCCTCTCTTTGAACCAAAACGTTAAACAATTCTGCATCTGATTAAAACCATGTTCCTGGTCTTATAAACTCTCCAAGTTGACCAGTTGGGTAGTTTACTGAACGTTTCAGTACACTGGGAATCATAAGAGAAAAATGATAAAACTTTATTTTGACAACTGAACAATTAATTTAGAGATAGTGAGAAGAACTCTGAATGAGCGAACTACATCCTAAGCTAGCTTTCAGAGTAATGGCCCAATAAATAGGGTAGGACACATGTATTTATCTTTTAGTTTCTGTCTACCAGCTTCAGCCAGTTAAACTTCCTAAGTAGTCATAAACTCCTCTAATTACTTCCTTTACAAACCAAAACCAGATGTCGTTTTAAAAGGTGAGATGCTACATTGCCTTTGGCGGACCAATTTTGTGGGCATATACTATTATTTTGACGCTTTATTTTATACCAGCTTAATGAAAAATGGTTAAAAGTGTGGGCTGTAGACACGTTTCTAGATTTAAACAAGTCTCCTACTTAACAGCCGTGTGTTTTCAGGTATTTTTCTTAGACTCTCTGTCTTAGTTTCCTCATCTGTGCTCTGTAGGTTATGGTAAGGCCCAAATTCGAGAACCATGTGAAACGTATAGTGCAGTGCTAGAAAATAGCCCTCAGTGAAAGCTATCCGTAACTACCATTATTGCTATCACTATTATTACCTGGAATTCAGCCTCTAGTGGAGATGGCTCACTGGGCGGGTCTCTTTTCTTCATGTTCAATAGATACGGGTGTAATTCAGACAAACTCACTTCTGTCTCCCCGAATTGGTTGTATTCCACCAAGGCTTGATGGATCAAGATATACTGGGCCTACAATTTCAAAGAAAAATGTGGATAATTAACTGATAATTTACAGTTCTATAAATCACATTTAAATAAATTACGCATCTCCATAATTTTGCCCATATTGATACAATGTATGCAAAAGAAAACTGATACATGTGACATTTGAATATTATGGAATTTGGCTCTCACAGTTCTCTGGAATGTGAGCAAATTCCATATCAGATATTTTTCCAGGAAAAAATAGCTTGCTAAAAAGATTAAATATCTACTATATAATGCCTTTTATTTTATTTCTAAAAATTAGAAAGCATTGTCTGTTACTTCCTTCAGTGACTATTATTGAGCAACTAAGTCAAGTCACTGACATATAAAACTATAACAAATTTCACACTGGACCTAAGAAGAAAAGAATGCACCTTAATATTCCATAGAACACATTTTTAAAAAGAGTCTTTTAGAATCTTTTAAAATAGAGGAATTTATCAAAAAAAACCCCACAATATGCCAAATCTACATTTAACGGCTCCTAACTTTTTTTTTATCACATTTGAATCCAATATTTTTAAATAAATGACATATTTCTGATAAAGCTCAAGCCTCTTTAACCACTAGCTCCAGTTCCCTGACTTTGTATTCTTTTGCCCCATTTACTTTTTCCACAGGAAGTAATTTTTCTTTTTTCTTTTTCCTGGTTGAATTTTTTTTATACTTCTACACTAATATCTATGTATCTCTAAACACTGTACATTTTGTGTGCTTCCTTAAAATTCCATAAATTGTATCTTATATGTTTTATTCAGTGATTTTATTCACTCATGGTTTACAGCTGAGCATCTAACCACATAGATAGATACAGACCAAGATTATTCCTTTCAACTGCAGCAGAGCATACATTGTATGGAGTCCATATGTCCACATTTTTTTGCCTTTTCTCCCTGAGATATGAATAAAGATACTCCTTCCTTCCATCCTTCCTTCCTTTCTTTTTCTTTTTCTTCTTCTTCTTTCTTTCTTCCTTCTCTTCTTCTTCTTCCCTCTCTTCTTCCTCTCCTCCTCCTCCTCCTCTCCTCCTCCTCCTCCTCCTTCTTCTTCTTCTTCTTCTTCTTCTTCTTCTTCTTCTTCTTCTTCTTCTTCTTCTTCCTTCTTCTTCTTCTTCTTCCTTCTTCTTCTTCTCCTCCTCTATTCTATCAGTGCTGAATTCAAAGAACATTCTTGCACATGTTTCTAGTTGTGCACATTTCCAAGTACTTCTCTTGGATATAAACATACATGTGGAATTGCTGGCTCGAATGCAGTCATTTTCAATAATAGCCATCACATACAATTACTGACTACATACATGTGCCAGGGACTTGCCTACATACTTTCCTACATACTTTCCTTCTCATCATAACTTTGCAGGGTAAATAGATCATTATTTCCAGCTTATAGATGACTAAACTGAGGCACAGAAACATTAAAAACGTGTGAAAGAATAGACAGTGTTAAGAACAAAAAGTGAGATGTGAACTTTGTAAGCCGAGTTCCAAAATCCAGGCTCTTAATCACTATACTATTCTGTCCCCTTGGCTTTAATTTAATGAGCTGCTGCCAAATCAGTTTTTGGTTTTTTATTTATTTATTTTTCCTTTCTGACACACTTAAATGGTATTTTATTATTTATTTATGTGCTTATTTGTTTATATATTTTAGAATCATCCTTCTTCTACGGCCACATTTAGCCACATGCAAAATGCTTCTGACTATGATTGGTGCCTATCAGTTGATTGAGTTTTCAGGAAATGAAAATAAAACCATTTTCACCCACTGTTTAAAGTTGAGAAGAATTTAGATTTCTTTTAAGATCACCATTCCCACCCACCCTTTTATGAAAGGGGAGAATAGTAATTGAAGGCTAGCACATACCTCCACTTGGACCATCAAGCATCTCTGTCGCCTTAGCTTGACAACATAACCATAAACATCTACTTTGTTTTCCGCTTCCAGGCCTTCTAGCATGGCATCAATTCCAATATAGGTGCCTGTGCGTCCCACACCAGCACTGGCAAAACAAACAAACAAAGTGAAGGCATGATCGTGGTAGGGAAATGAGTAGAAAAGCTGACAGGGGAGAAGCAGAGGAAAGAATATAAGTTTCTCCTTGCAGACTGTTTTCCAAAAGAGCAATTGTCAAAGGGAAAGATGTCCCTAACTGCCCCAGAGGAAGGACTGGAATAGCCCTGGTGCCTGCTGTGGGAGTTCCCTTACCTGCAGTGCACCACAATGGGGCCACTGAAGAAGTTGCTGAAAGCATTCACTCTCCTCCGCAGCTTCAGAAGCAGGTGAGGATCTTCAGGCACCCCATGGTCTGGCCAGCTGGTGAACTGAATGTGAGTCACCTCTCTTCCAGTGGCCTTCTCTTTTTTCTAGGCAAGAGATAATATTTTCTGTGAGATTTTTTTCTTTTTCTTTTTTTCAGGGCAGACTACCTGACATAAATTAAGTAGAAGAGAACATCAGGGCCCAAAACTCCTCATGCAAGTTTTTCAGCCATGATTGCATTTTCCTTTCCAATTAATAACTGGTAGTTGAGATGTCATGCAAGGTTGGCATGCACGAACCAGTGAGCAATAACTTACTGGTAAGGTAAGTAAGGTATGACAAGTTAGCTGAAGCTGCTAGGAACTTTCATGCCGCCACACCGAAAACAAACAACAAAAACAAATACACACACACACACCAAAAAATGGAGATGTAGGTGGGTGGAAAAAGACATAAAGTAAAGGCCGTTCTCACAGCTGTTTGAAATACTTCCACTTGGTAGGCCAGCTAATTTTCTTCATATGAAGAAAGTCCGATAAATTGTTTGGTTAATGCTATATTTCTTAGGGCGTCCTATATTTAGAAATGTCAGCTCAAACTGTGGAGAGACACCTGAGGAAGGTCAGCCCCAGACTACAGCTCATATTTGCTCCAACGTCAAAGTAACCACTACAAGATGAATTCTTTGACCTGGTACGAAGAAGAACCATCTACATTTAGATACCAGAAGAAACAACAAAATTTGGTTGCTTGTAATTTTCTGATAGGAATATAATTAAGAATAAGAATGAGACCAATCAATGCAGCCAGCTCTAAATAGGACCCATATATGTGGCCTGGGGATCTCATGCCTCAAGTCCACCGTGTATTTTACCATGAACTATTGGTGGTAGATTCATTGTCTCACAGCCCTCTGGGGGCCTAATGCCATGGGAGCCTTAGAAGGCCTTGGAAGAAATGTACTATTGGTAGGAATATTTTTTTGCATCTTTAAACCACTTTAAGATATATTCACATACCATAAAAATGTATTCATTTAAAGTATAGCATTTTTTATTATATTCCCAGAGTTGTAAAATCCTCACCATGAACTACAGGACATTTTCATTATCCCCCAAAAGAAACTTACTGATTAGCAGTCAACCCTTCTCCTGCTTCACCTCCAACAGTTCCAAGCAATCCTAATCAATGTTCTGTCTCCATAAATTTGCCTACTCTAGACTTTTCATAAACATGGAATCATAGGAAATGCCTGGCTGGCTCAGTCAGTTAAGTGTCCGACTCTTTTTTCCCTAAGATTTTATTCATTTATTCATGAGAGACACAGAGAGAGGCAGAGACATAGGCAGAGGGAGAAGCAGGCTCCCTGTGGGGAGCCTGATGTGGGACTCAATCCCAGGACCCTGAGGCACGACCTGAGCCAAAGGCAGATGCTCAACCACTGAGCCACCCAGGCGCCCCAAGTGTCTGACTCTTAATATCAGCTCTGGTCTTGATCTCAGGGTTGTGAACTCAAACCCCACATTGGACTCCATGCTGGGAGTGAAGCTTACTTAAAAAATAAATTTAAAAATAAATTTAAAAAAGTTTAAAAATTTAAAAATCCAATAACGTGTGAGGACCTCTATTTTAACTATTATCTAAGGTCATATTAACAGTTTTCTTTTCTGAACTAAACATTTTATCTTTACTACATAGTTAGAACTTTGTATTTCTTACAGTCTTTAATTTTGCCATTTGGTTTTGGGTTTTTTGTGTGTGCAAGAAGGTGGTTTTATTAAAGCACAAGGAAAGGACCTATAGGCAGAAAGAGCTCTCTAATTGTGCCATTTGTATAAATATTCTTTCCATAATGGTAACAGACCAATGAGAAAAGGGCCATTGTATCATTCATTCAATAATTCAATCATTTAGTCAATATAATTAATGAGCTGTTTATACATCAAGAGTCACAGCACTTTATATATATATAATTTGTTTTTTGAGAAACAGAGTGGGATGGGGAAAAGAGGAAGAGAGAATCTTAAGCAGGCCCAACCCTGAGACCATAACTTGAGCCCAAATCAAGAGTTGGATGCTTAACTGACTGAGCCACTCAGGAGCTTCAACAAATACTTTTGATACCAGTAGATTTAACTAGGTTTAATTTGACCCCGTTGGCCCATGTTATTGTTTCAATGCAAATCCTCCTCCTGTAGGCTGTTAAATATATTTTTTCTCATATTACACTTACTTCCATAATTGTGTTTTTAGACAACCCATATGAAAATAAATGTCATGTAATAAACTCACATTTGTAATGTTCAACTTCTGAATGATATAATCTGGGCATCTTTTGTGCTCGGTGATCTTTACAATGACATCTCCAAAAGCCCGTGTGCCCTCTTCCATCGATGGCCAGTATTCTGCACACTTGTTCTATATTTTAGAAAACATTAAGAATTTTGGTTTTTCATTTAAACAAATTTGCTTGTTAGAATTCTTTTAAAAACCAAACACAACAAAAGTTATCCATCTGAAATTCTCAAACCATTGGTGTATTCTCCTTTCAGCACATGTACACCTTAAGCTGCGATGCTTGAAAGGTATTCCATTTCCCATTAATGTGTCCTGAAAGATTTCTTCACACTACCTAGTAAAAGGATGATCTTACGGGCTTAGCTGCATATTTAAAGGGGATGTGCTGGGTTGTCAGTAGAAATGATGTGATTGCATGCAGTTGATTTCAGGCTGGAAGATGGGGAGGCTTTCACCCTTCCTAAAGTCCTATTACATAAATTACCACCTATATCCCCAAGGACAGTTTTAAGTTTTCACAAGTCCTTGTGAAATCACCTCACTGAGATGCACTACTCTTAAAACAATACTGCAAAGAAATAGGAATCAAATGTAAGTCCAGCAAGTAAGCAGAAACATTTAAACTGTATTCATGTATACATCTCTTTCGGTATTACATATTTTATTTTTCTACAGGTATAAAAAGTTTTAAATCAAGTGTTACACTGACTAAAATGGAAAACTGTCTGTTTTTGTCACTAAGCACATATATATGGTTTTTTCGAAATGCAATCCAACCCCCTTTTCCTAACCCCAATCTTCACCCTTTGAGTCTTACCCTGTTTCCTTCCTCACATCGAGTGACCATGACAATGACTGTGGCTTTCTGTTCCCAGATCATCCTCCAGAAATCATCAACAGTTTCATCCCTGGGGCCTAGGAGGTAAATAAATACAAACTGATAAATATCTTCTTCAAGGTGCTATGAAACAATTTTCAAAAAAGAATGTTAGACTAGCAGATAAATTACCTTGTGCAGCAATGTATTTCCTGGGTTCTTTGAAGCCCTGTTCAAAACACACACAAAGGCGTATAATTTATTGAACACTCAATTACTCACGTACATGCAAAACTATGAGTTAGAGGAAATTGATTTAGACCCACCGTTTCTTGTGGATTTCTCTGAACATTTTCAGATTATAAGGGGGATTTTATTAACTCAAGCTCACTCATTAAACTGTGCCAAACATGTTAGCATTTACAAACAATATTCATGGCTTTCGTGTGTCTTTGCTATATACCCAAAACAACTTTATTTTATTTTTTTCCCCAAAAACAATTTTAAAAACTAGACTTCATCCTCATCAGGGATGGTGCAGCAATTTACAAAAGTAATCTAGACATTCTTCTATTTTATGTCCTGCCAACCGTTACAGTACCATCTGTTACAATTTAAACCTTCTTACAAGCTGTATGGTTGCTTTTGGGATTTTTACTCAATTTCTTTCAATAAATCATTCTGATATGATCCCCACACTTCTTCCTTTAACTATCTGGGATAGACCACGGATTCCCTAGCCTTCTTCTCTGCCTTTGTAGATAAGGGACACGATAACTTTCATTTCATTACCTACAATGTCTACTTTTTCCACTCCTTTCACCAAAGCAGAGAAGGAGTACAGAGGCAGATAAAACACTGTGCTAATTTCTTCCAAATGACCATATTCCTTAAATTCACCTCAGCAATCAGAAAGCTCTTCAGAGAGATAACCTTTGCCCATTAGATGAAATATGGTGACATGGGACACAAAAATTCAGGATTAATATTAGTAACTTCTGGAAACTTCTACCTGATGACATGGTATTATTCATATATTTACTCATTTGACATTTATTGAGGGGTCACAGTACGTCAAGCAACTATCCAAAGGCTGAAGACATGCTTTGCAGGAACTCCTAGCTCTGGTAGAGAAAAATAAGTGTAACTCAATACCCTAATTATCATATATATTTGAATAAAAATAATAAGTTTTTTTTCCCAGAGACTATCTAAATCCTTATAAAAATCTGTTCTCAGTTTACGTTGAAAAACAATGTGGAAGAAACACTATGCACTGAAATAAAGTTTATTAGTGCTAATTGTGAAAGCCTGCAGAAATTACCAGCAGAAGCAGTTAAAATATAAGTCAAAATTATGATGCAGTACTAGTGATTATTTTTAAACGATGACCTCACATTTGTAAGTCTTGTTTGTCATTATAAACAAGCCTTTTGATGATCATATTAAAAAGGAATAAAGTAAGTAATTGTACTGTGACTACCAGGACCACATGTCAATGGAAGAGATATTTGTTGCTTGGGAGAGAACTTACAGGGGCAATAGTTAATAAGGTTACAAAACGTGTCATGTATCAAACAAAGGGGATGTGAGGCAGGACATTTCTATAGGATAGAGCGCTGTCTCTAGGGACAGAATGCTTGAGAAGAAAAATCCCAGCTCTCATGAATGATTCACATAAAAAAATACTTTTACATTTTTCTATAATTTTGCATAATCTGTGTGTAGAGGCTTAAATGTATTCCTCAAAAACACATATCCAGTCAGAATGTGATTTCATTTGCAAATAGGATCTTTGTGGAAGATGAGGCTATACCCATGGAGGATGAGCCCTAAACCTAATGACTTGTGTCTTTATGGGAGAAAGGTGACACAGTGAGGTAGAAGCACACAAGGAAGAAGGTCACGGTGGATGGAAACATAGATTAGGATGAAGGAAGGGTCTCTCTCGGACCCTTCCGAGGGAGCATGGCTCTGCTGACACCTTGATTTTGGACTTTTTGTCTCCAGGAACTTCAGAGAGAATATATTTATGTTGTTTTGAGGCCACCCAGTTTGTGGCACTTTGCTATATCAGCCCTAGGAAATGAATACATCATGTGACTAAATAGATAAATATGATTTGACCATTTTAGCAATTCCACTAAACGTTCATGTATTCACATAGATTCAAACAAACAAACCTCAATTTCAATTTTTTTTCTTTAAGAAAATATTGTGAATTACCTTACACACCAGCATATATAGTAGTAGCATGATACACACTGTCAACTATTTGACTGTCAAAAAATTTTTTGTTAGTCACCCTTTTGGCAGTCTGTGGAAATAAGCACCCTTTGTACATTGCTGATGGAATGTAAATTGACATGACCCTAGTGGAAGACCGTTTGGAAATGTCTTTTAAAATTGCAAATGTAATCTGGGTGGCTCAGTCAGTTTAGCATCTGTCCTTGGCTCAGGTCATGATCCTGGGGTCCTGGGATCAAGTCCCAAAGAGGCTCCTTGCACAGCAGGGAATCTGCATCTCCCACTCCCCCTCCTCTCTGTTCGTGCTCTCTCTCGAAAATAAATAAATACAATCTTTAAAAAAATTGCAAATGCATATTCTCTTTGACCTAGAAATTTTTCTTTGAGGGATTTATCCTAGATATACTAAAACCCCATGTAAAATAATGAGTCAAGATTATTCATTGAACCATTGTGGGTAAAAGCAGATTAGAAAACACATTTAATGTCCATTAACATAGGAACTGATTAACTAAATCACAATTTGGATACACCATGAATGATTTATAAAATATAGAAGAAAGAGGTACAAGTGCTCTAACCAGGGTCAGCAAACTACAACCTGCGTCTGATTTTGTAAAAAAACAAAAAACAAAAACAAAAACGGGAACACATTCACATCATGTATTAAAGTGTGGCCACTAAACTTCAGAACTAAGTAGTTGTGACAGAGTGGTATGTCCTGGAAAACCCAAAATACTTGTTGTCTGGCCCCTTATACAAAAAAAATTTGCCACTCCCTGTAGTGATGTTTTGCACATATATCACCCACATTTAAAAAGCCTGGCACAGAACAATGTGAATAGTATGTTAACATTTTTGGGTAAAGGAGATGATAAAGAATGTTGGTGTTTTCTTGTTTATAAAGAAACTGCCTGGATCAAGAAGAAGCAACATAGAGGTTACCTGGTCAATGGGGGCATTGGGCAAATGGCAGAAGGAAGATTTTTTTCAGTCTCTATTTTTATACTGCTCAAGTTTAAAAAAAAATTGTGTGATTCATCACTTATTTTACAATTAAATAATAAGTGACATTTTAAAATATTTTGGATAAGTCAACCATATACAATATTTGGTTTTAAGTAAATACAATGATCTGGGTCAATGGAGAACACCTCTGCTGAAAGGCAAGGCAATATTATACAATCGAAGCACAAGTTTGGAGTCACACAGACCTGCGTTTGAAATCCCAACTCAATCTTGTACTGATTGAGCAAGGGAAGGATAACTAATTCACCAGAGCCTCCCAGTCCTCACCTCTGCAGTGAGCATGGTACATGTGGTTGGGGCAAATGTGGGGCTCTTATGAGAAATACATACATGGATCCTTTAGTCTAATACCCCACACATAGTGGGCACCCAAGTACTTTAACTATTACTATCATTTTTTGGTGGAGAAAAATTCTACAATATGCCCAGTACCAATAACAAATCATCAATAGCTATCCTAGCAGATATTAACGATTTTGTTGTTTATATCAGTGACAATAGGGGTTTACATCAAACCATTTCTTTTGTTTAACTTTTTTCGGATCTTTAAAAAGATTTATTCTTTTTCTTTATTTGATTTAAAATTCAATTTCCCAACATATTGTACAATACCCAGCGCTCGTCATACAAATTATTTCTAATAATATTTCTAAAATTTTGCCATGACAAAGAAGGAATCGGATGGAATGCATGATTACAAGGAAATGAAAATGATCAATGGCGAAATAACAAAGATGTAAAATAATCGGGCAGTTATGCATTTTTACTCACATCAATGTAACTGGCATTTATGTAATTTGACCCTGCATCTCCATTTATATCAGAGAGTTCAACACGGTTATAATCATCTGTTCAAAGAAAAGAAATATAAACAAATGAAAAAATGAATAATCAAGTAGCCTAAATACATGTAAATCCAATTCTCAATGAGTACTTACAAGGAAGGATGTCAACGTAACGGTTTTTATTCTGGTTAAAAGGTTTTCGAGCATCCTTGATAGAAAACTTGCTGAACACCCGTGGAATGCTCTGAAAGACATAAAGATCCTTTGGGTCACAGCAGATTCAAGAAAAATAATTTTCTCCTGGCCACTGATCATTTTGAGCAAAGGAGACATTCTATAACGTATTTCCTTTATGCTCATGAACAAGTCGTGTATGGTAATTGAAATTAGCATTATTAACTGTTATGCAAAAAACACCTAGAAAATGAATGATGGGCTACTTTGAGAATAAAACCCACGAGCAAGAGCAAATTCAGAATTAATTGCCACTTGAAAATTCATTTAAAAACAGATACTTAGATAGTTAATTAGACTACAAGTACAAAACCAGCCAAATATGTTTTGTGACACAGCTTCATAACTGATAATGATATGCAGAAGAATTATTTTGAAATATTTTCTAGTTCCATGACTATGTGTCTCTCTTTTGTTCTATAAATATGTTAATAATATCTACTTTGACTATGTTGCAGTGTTACGTGGGACAAACTACAAAGGCAAATAGTTATATAATAACTTTAAAACAGAATTTAGGTTGATAATTGAGTAAATTTCTCATCATATATCAAGAGGAGCACACACCTGAAATTCAGCCAGAAACAGTCTTCCTTCATCAGCGATCTTCCTCTTATAAGTTTCCAACAAAATATCTGCATGGATTGGCTCCACAGTCATCAGTTGTTTTTCATCATCTTTAAACATATTAAGGATTCGTGACAAGGGTTATGTCGATCTTTCAAGTGTTCATATGAATTTCACTAACTTTATAGCTTGGATTCCATTTTTCATTTCTTTCCTTCCCTCACACACTCCACCCAGAAAATCTCACTCCCATACGAGGGTTCACCTAGAAGCCTATGACATCTGAATCTTGTGCTCCAGCCCTCTTCTGGGCTTTATAATAACCTTTCAGACTCTCTCCCAGAGTTTCCACACAGTTATCCCACATTTACCTCAACGTCAAAATGTTCAAAGTAAAAATAATTTTTTCCTTTACTCTAGTATTCAAATCTCAGGAAACAGGATCACCATTTGCAAACTAATTTAAGGCTGTAACTTTCATGCTATCCAAAGTTTCCCCCTCCCTCTGCATATCCAGTAGGTCACTGGGTCCTTCCCATCCCTTCTGCCCCTGGTCAGGTGCAAGCAGTCCTTCTCATCTGTGGAATGACAACCTCCTAACTCCTCTCCCTGTCTCTGTATTTTTCCTCATCCTGATTTATCTTTTCAACTGCCTCAAATTTGTCTTCTGAATACACATATGAGCATGTAACTCTATTTGTTAAAAAGATTCTAATACTATTATGTGTTCCATTGCCTAAATCCAAAGTTTGAATATGTAATGCAATATAAGAATTACTATACTTTATTAGCTATATACTATAGTTATAAGAGAATATGATTAATACCTTCTACTCAAGACTCAGCTTCATTTGATATTCCCTTTACACTAGGCCATAAACAAGTTTCGTTAATTTGTTATGCCTCCAGGGTATGGAACACATTATATGCTCTGCTTTTATAATAACTTAGTAAAGAGTAAAAATACATATTAACCATAAAGAACTACAATTGTATATGGCAAAACAAAAATTTCAGAAGAATAAGAGAATGTGAAGTGTCACACATGTAAAAATTATGTTCCTTCTGTTCATGTTAGTGTTCTCAACTTTTCAGATCAAGAAAGATGTCCACTAGGGTATCTTATTGTCTGTGGAAATTTATTATCCACGAGTATCACGAGTATCACATTGGCCATGTACAGTTGCTTCTTTAGGTCTCCGAGAATCTCTGATATTCATTCATTCTGAAATTAGGGCCACCTTTCAGGTTTTATGGAGTTTGGGTAATAGGAGTTCTTAAATTTTTCCTGTCTTGAATATGAGAAAATACATTTCCTTTATTGTAAACAGAGTTCCGATCTTTAACTCCACCCCCTTTTACCAGATCAAAAATCACATTTAAAATATTAAAGGAACAATGTAACAGTTGAAAAAAGAAGAGAAAAATGAAATTCCTTTCCTCTCCTAAGTCAAATTGCAACTTTTTTGTCATGTCCATAAGTGGGCCTTTAGTGGAAACAGCCACCATCCCACCACACTTGCACACACATACTACCAAGTCTTCCGCTTTGTGACTTTCAATTTGTTCTTCCATCCACCACTCCCTCATTTATTGATCTAATGTCTCCCCACAATCTTAGAAGACCCAAATGGCTGCCTTTGCCACTCACAGTCTTCTATCTTCTATCTTTCCATAGAACCATACACATTCAATTACTATGGCATTTACCAAACTACTGTCATATTTGTTGATATTTCTGTCTTCCTCTATTAGATTTCAAACCCTTTAAGAGTGGAGTCTGTGGCCTGTCACTGCCATATCTTCAGTGCTGGCACAATATATATGTATAGAATAAATAAAAAAATATATATGTATAATAAATGAATTAAGTTTCATCATTATATCATCAGAATAAGTCCAAATTATATTTTTTAAATGTTGAATTCTTATTTAAAATGAATGGATTCAAACATGAAGGGGATATTCACCAGTAAAAAGTAAGTATACTTACCCCTTTCCACAAGTTCCTGCTCTTCATCTAAATCACTGTGAAAATAAGAAGCGTAAGTTTATATATTTTTTAAGAAACATAGAATTCAGTTGGGATTCAATGTATATTTAATGAATCAATTCACTTTATATTTATTGAAGGAAGGAGGGAATGGAGGCAGGGAGTAAAGAGGAAAGGAGAGGAGGAAGAGAGACGAGGGGAGAGGAAGAGGGAACGAGGAGAGAAGGGGAGGAGAGGAGGAAGGATCATGGCAGGGGAGGCAGGAAAGAATGAAGAGTTGTAGGAGAGAGAGAGGAATAAAGAAAAAGTAAGTGAGGAAGACATCAACCAAGGGTTGTCTGCTAAATTCAGGTAAGTGACTAAATTATTTTATTTTTTAATTATTTTATTTGAGAATTATTTTTCATAAAATGCAGTTGTTCCTGGCCAAAGGAATACATAATAATTCCCTAGGTATTTCTCTCTTTTCTTTTTGCCTTTATCATTTCTAGATCCCTCTGACCTACTTTGTACTAAAAGAATAAATATCTATTCTTTTCATTGGTTATTATTTTTAAAACTCTATAACATTATTAGTAAATGTAGAAAATATTAGTATTTACTATAAACCAAGAAGACTACAGTAAGTTTTTGTTCACAAGTTCACTGATGAACTGAACTTTGTGCTACTTTTCATTCTTCACTTAATTGGTTTTAAACTTACCTCTTAGATTGGTGTTTTCAGAATTATTATATTATATTGAAATCAACTCTTACCTGGACCTCTTGTTGCGTAGGTCATAGATTTTATAGAGAACAACAAGCAGAGCTAAGAATGTCACAATGATGAGAAACACCAGAAATATAATCAGTGCTCTAGAATTATCTAGAATTGAAAAATAACATGAAGAAAGATTATTATATCAAATATTTTGCTGAGTTCTTTGAATAATCACCTTTAAAGTACTTTCATTTTAATATGCTCATTTCTTTTGAGGCTTTCAAAGAATAAATTTTTAAAATAATACTAGATACAATAAATCCCTGATTTTGCATGTTTTGCCTATGCTATTCGAAACAAATAAAAGTATCTGATACTTTAAGAGAACAACTAGAATATAGAAGAGAAACTCTCCTTCCACAAAATACTATTCCTTCTGTGATACTATCATTTCAGCTTACTTCTTTCTTTTAGTCACTCCATTTTGAAGGCATCAGAGACGTAATCTAGTTATTATAAATCTCAGAGAGAAACTCATATAGTTTAACTTTATGTGCAGAAGTAGATAGTCTCCCAAAGGGATCCAAAAGGCTTCTGTCCCACACAGATAAAATTTCTCACCTGCTCACTGAGGTATAAAATCAATTTAACAGGGGACAAAACTGTTTCACTCTACCATTAGGAGTACTTATCCTGATGTAAACTTTCACCAAAGTTTGACATGAAATCATGCCTTTTCTGGAAGAAAGCCAGAGAACAGAGAATGTACTGGAAATATCCCTTGCCCTGGATTAATATCTTACACTTTTCACATACAATGGGAGTGCAGAAAGGAATGTAGTGAAATCCAGGGCCTCACTTCTAGAGCCAGACTGCTTGGGTTCCAATCCAAGCTCAACCACTTCCAAGGTGGGACATTGGCTAGAATCTTTATTACCTTTGTGACTCCATTCCCTAATTCTTAAAATGAGGTTAAATGAGTTGATTTACAGTAAAAATGTGACACAGTGTCTGGGATATAATAAATAGCAATTATTCACGATTTGCAAAAAGTAGTGTTGAATCTTACTGTATGTCAAACACTGATTTAGGTACTTAAGATATCTTGGAGACCAAAACAAGGATCCTTGTCCTCATGGAAATGACTTTGTGAGAGGAAAAACAGACACTTAACAATATACATAATGAATAAGCACTTGGTAAGAGAAGTTAGAAGACAATAAAGACTATGAGAAAGAGAGGGAGATAACGAAGCAGGTATTTGGAAGTTGCATGTTTGAGGCAGAGTATAGTTAGGACAAGAACCCAAAGGCAGGAGCATGCTGGGCATGTCCAAGGAATAGCAGGGAGGCTCATGTGGCTGGAGTGGAGAGAGTGAGGCAGCATGAACTGCCACCTGAGAGTACGATGGGGAGTAGGAGGAGGCAAGGCTCAGATTTGTAGGGCCCTGAAACCATTTTAAGGATACATTAGTTTTTGAGTTAAACAGGTAGCACCTGCAAGATTTTGAACAGAGAAGTAATATGCTCTGACTAGTGCATTTTACAGATTTTTATGACAATTAAGAGAATGCTATAATCTAAGCAAAATAGGGCAGTGGTTCAGACCAGGTTGGCACCTCTAGAGTTAGGAGAAATAGTCATATAGAGTTACAATTAATGGACTGATCAGGAAGACTGTGGGTGCAACAGTTTAAACATTGCTGGTTCTTTGAAATAATTAACAAAATTTATAAGCCCCTCGCCAGATTTATCAAAAAGAAAAGAGAAAGGACCCAAATAAATAAAAACACAAATGACAGAAGAGAGATCACAATCAACACCATAGAGGTATAAACAATTATAAGTGAATATTATGAGCAATTATATGCCAACAAATTGAGCAATCTGGGAGAAATTAGACATATAAATTACTAAAACTGAAACAGGAAGAAATAGAAATTTTGAACAGACCCATAACCAGCCAAGACATTGAATCAGTAATCAAAAATCTCCCAACAAACAGGAGTCCAGGGCCAGATGGCTTACCGGGGGAGTTCTACCAAATGTTTAAAGAAGAGTTAATACCTATTCTCCTGAAGCTGTTCCAAAAAATAGAAATAGAAGGAAAACTTCCAAACTCATTCCTTGATTCCAAAATCAGACAGAGACCCCACTAAAAAGAATTATCGGCCAATATCTCTGATGAACATGAATGCAAACATTCTCAACAGGATACTAGCAAATCAAATCCAACAGTGCATTAGAATAACTATTCATCATGATCAAGTGGATTTATTCCTGAGCTACAGAGGTGGTCCAATATCTGCCCTTCAATTGACGTAATACACCACGTTAATAAAAGAAAGGATAAAAATCTTACAATCCTTTCAATATAGGCAAAAAAAATTTTTGACAAACTACAGCATCCATTCTTGATAAAACCCCTCAATAAAGTTGGGATACAGGGAACATACTTCAACATCATAAAGGCCATATACCAAAGAGCCTCAGCAAATATCATTCTCAATGAGGAAAAACTGAGAGCTTTTCCCTTAAGGTCAGGAACACAAGAGGGATGTCCACTCTCACCACTGTTGTTCAGCATTGTACTGGAAGTCCTAGCCTCAGCAATCAGGCAACAAAAATAAAGAAAAAGCATCTACATTGGCAAGGAAGAAATCAAACTATCACTCTTGACAGATGATATGATACTCTATATAGAAAACCCAAAAGATTTCACCAAAAAAATTGTTAGAATTTATACATAAATTCAGCAAAGTCATAGGATATAAAATCAACATACAGAAATCTGTTGCATTTCTGTACACCAATAATGAAGCATCAGAAAGTTAAATCAAGGAACTGATTCCATTTACAACTGTACCAAAAATCATAAAATACTTAAAAATAAATATAACCAAAGAGGTAAAAGATCTATACACTGAGAACTGTAGGACACTTATGAAAGAAACTGAAGGAGACACACACACAAAAAAATGGAAAAATATTTGAGGGGTGCCTGGGTGGCTCAGTTGGGTTGATCCACTGACTCTTGATTTTGACTCAGGTCATGATCTCGAGGTCATGAGATCTAGCCCTGCGTGGGCTCTGCCCTGGGCATGGAGCCTGCTTAAGATTTTCTATTCCTTTCCCTCTGCCCCTCTCCCCTAATTCGTCCTCCCCAACCCTGCCACATTTAAGCTTGATCTTTCTCTAAAATGACAAACAAACAAACAAACAAAACCAAAAGACATTCCATGCTCATGGATTGAAAGAATGAATATTAAAACATATATATCACCCACAGCAAACTATACATTCAATACAATTTGCATCAAAATAACATCAGTGTATGTTCTCATTCATTTGGGGAATATGAATAATAGTGAAGGGGAATATAAGGGAAGGGAGAAGAAATGTGTGGGAGATATCAGAAAGGGACACAGAACATAAAGACTCCTAACTCTGGGAAATGAACTAGGGGTGGTGGGAGGGGAGGAGGGCGGGGGGTGGGGGTGAATGGGTGACGGGCACGGAGGGGGACACTTGACGGGATGAGCACTGGGTGTTATTCTGTATGTTGGTAAATTGAACACCAATAAAAATTAATTTATATAAAAAAAACAAAATAACATCAGCATTTTTCAAAGAACTAAAACAAATAATCTAAAATTTTATATGGAACTAGAAAAGACTCCAAATAGCCAAATTAACGTTGATAAAAATAAAAAGAAAGAAAGAAAGAAAGAAAGAAAGAGAGAGAGAGAGAAAGAAAGAAAGAAAGAAAGAAAGAAAGAAAGAAAGAAAGAAAGAAAGAAAACCAAAGCAGAAGGCATCACAATTCCAGACTTCAAGCTCTATTAGCAAGCTGTGATCATCAAGACAGTGTGGTACTGACACAAAAACAGACACACAGATCAATGGAACAGAATAGCGAACCCAGAAATGGGCCTTCAACTCTATGGTCAACTAATTTTTGACAACGCAGGAAAGAATAGCCAATGGAAGAAAGACAGTCTCTTCAACAAATGGTGTTGAAAAAACTGGGCAGCCACATGCAGAAGTATTAAACGGGACCACTTTCTTATACCACACACAAAAATAAATTCAAAATGGATGAAAGACCTAAATGTGATACAGGAAACCATCCAAATGCTAGAGGAGAAGACAGGCAGTGACCTCTTTCACCTGGGCGGTAGCAGCTTTCTACTAGACACATTTCCAGAGGCAAGGGAAACAAAAGCAAAGATGAACTACTGGGACTTCATCAAGATAAAAAGCTTCTGCACACCAAAGAAAACAATCAACAGGGGATCCCTGGGTGGCGCAGCGGTTTGGCGCCTGCCTTTGGCCCAGGGCGCGATCCTGGAGACCCGGGATCGAGTCCCACATCGGGCTTCCGGTGCATGGAGCCTGCTTCTCCCTCTGCCTGTGTCTCTGCCTCTCTCTCTCTCTCTCTGTGACTATCATAAATAAATAAAAATTAAAAAAAATTAAAAAAAAAAAAAAAGAAAACAATCAACAAAATTAAAAGGCAACTTATAGAATGGGAGAAGATATTTATAAATGACATATTCAATAGAGTGTTAGTATCCAAAATCTATAAAGAATTTATCAAACTCAACACCCAAAAAACAAATAATTCAGTCAAGATACGAGCAGAAGACATGAATAGACATTTTTCCAAAGAAGACATCCAGGTGGCCAACAGACACATGAAAAGATGCTCAACATCACTCATCATCAGGGAAATACACATCAAAACCATGATGAGATACCACCTCACACCTTTCAGAAGGGCTGAAATTAAAAACAGGAGACAATAGAAGTTGGTGAGGATGCAGAAAAAGGGGAAGCCTCATATACTGTTGGTGGGAACGCAAACCGGTATAGCCATTCTGGAAAACAGTATGGAAGTTCCTCAAAAAGTTAAAAACAGAGCTACTCTACTACCCAGCAATTCCATTACTAGGTATTTACCCAAAGGATACAAAAATACAGATATAATGGGGGACGTGCACCCTGATGTTTATAGCAGCATTATCAACAATAGCTAAACTACGGACAGAGCTCATGTGTCATCAACTCGAGGAATGGATAAAGAAGATGCGGTGTGTGTACATACAATGGAATATTACTCAGCCATCAAAAAGAACGAAATCTTTCCATTTGCAATGGCAGAGATGGAACTAGAATGTATTGTTAGGTGAAGTAAGTCAGAGAAAGACAAATACCTTATGATTTCACTCATATGTGGAATTTAAGAAACAAAACAGATGAACAGAGGGGAAGGGAAGGACAAATAAAATAAGGTAATAACAGGGAGAGGCAAACCATAAGAGACTCTTAACTATAGAGAACAAACTGAGGGTTCCTGGAGAGGAGGTGAGTGGGGGGATGGGCTAACTGGATGATGAGCATTAAGGAGGGCACTTATTGTGTTGAGCACTGGGTGTTATATGTAAGTGATGAATTACTGAAATTTTACTCTTCAAATCAATACTACGTTATATAGTTAACTAACTTGAAATTAAATAAAAACGAGAAAAAAAATTTAAATAAGTAAAAAGTAGATGTTATCTAAGTAAATAGGTAAGATTTTATTTACATAAATGTAGAAAATAATAATAATGATAATAATAATAATAATAATAATAATAATAATAATACAGGGGATCCCTGGGTGGCTCAGCAGTTTAGTGCCACCTTCCACCAAGGGCATGATCCTAAAGTCCCGGATCAAGTCCCACATCAGGCTCCCTGCATGGAGCCTGCTTCTCCTTCTGCCTGTGTCTCTGCCTCTCTCTCTCTCGAACAAAAAAAAAAGAATTTTAAAAATATTAATTATAATACAAAGAATCTCAGTCAACAACCCCTCTGAGGATCACAGAACTTCTAATCAACTTTTCCTATTGTCTCACAATAGCTTTCATCCGACTGCTAATAAGAACCAAACTCAGAAGGGAACCCTCAACAAGAAAGGGGGATTCTAAAATAACAAACGGACGTACAATTTCCAAAATGAGATTAAAAAGAGCTCCAAAAGGACTACAGAAAAAAAAAATGGAGCAAAGAAAATTTCTCAGAGATTGAAGTCACAAAAGCCTATAGTATCCAGGAAAATAAATGAAAAAGACCCAAGCAAGACCGAGAATAAAGAGGAAAGTCTAAAAGTTCCAAAGGGAAAAAAAATATGGGAATATAGAAAAAGAACGAGAAATGGGATGGCATTAGAAAGTAATGCCAGATGTAGGAGAACAAAACAGAAATACTTTTTCAAGTCTCGATTTTTTTAACTTAGAATTTTACGCCAAGTCAAAATATTGATCAAGTGCCAGAGTAGAACCAAGCATTGCATTTTCATGTGTGCAAGAACTAGAATATTTTCTTCTTACACTAGAGAATATATACCAGTACATTTTTTTAAAAAATGAAATTCAGATGTAGCCGTTCTAAAACAGGAAACCAAAGAAGGTAAGTTTTACGACAGCCCCTGAGCTGTCCACCTAGGGAGTCCACATCAGTGCAGGAAGAAAGGGGCCCCAGCAGTTCAACTGGGAATGTTGTCAAAATACAGATGATGAAATCTTATGTCAGAGAAGCTCAGCAATACTTTTCTAGTAGGTGTATTCTTGGCAAGTCACAACCTGAGACCTCCCCTGGAGACGATGTCGCTATTAAAAAGTCACTATATTATTTATCTCTAATAAAGATGCCATTGTGAGCAAAAAGTCAATAAAACTTTTTCTGTGTTATGGAAGGAAGGCCATGGGATGACTCTCTAGCTCCACGGACATGGAAATCTGGTAAAAGTGGGTGATCAGCTGTTACTAGGCAACATTCCTAATGGTGAAAATGACCCTTGATTGCTAACCTGAATCTGGACAGGGAGGTTTGTGTATGAACTACACTGTCCTGGGAGAAGCCCTAGGTTTAGGTGTCCCTGAGCGGAGTCACCCAGGGCAGCACATCTCATCTCTGGACACACTCCTGCTGATGTGTCTGGAAGCCCTGCCCGTGGAAGTATTCTAAGAGATATTGGTTCCTTTCTTAACATGGAGCTGCTAAGCCAGGACACCTCTCACCCCCACGCACATGATCTGATGCTCTCACTTCCCCCAGGGAGGGTGGCAGTACAGCTCTGGCACTGCCATGTGCACTGCCACTATCATTGCTGCTGCCAGCCTTCCTTGCTGGCGCGCTCTGTTTCCTGTTCTGTGCCTCTCTGAGCGAAGTGGTGTCATGTCTGGCTTATTAAGATGTGATTGTGCAATGTCCAGTTGAGTCTGTGACGACACCCCCACCCCCCTCCAGGAGTGGGTGCTGCAGCTCTAAGTGACCTGCACGCTAGAAAACAATTCAAAGAAGCTGTTTTTATTGTAAGGAACCATAAAAGAAATAAGACTTATATGGAAATAAAATCAAAGCTCTCTCACTGAATTTGGCGGGCATTTCATATTGGCAGCTTTCCTTTTGACCTTTGAGTAGAAAGAATAAAACTGTACAAGGGCCTTAGGAAAGCTATTTGGAACACGGGCTTTCATAGCTTTCCTCTTTTCAAAGATTTAGGAAAAGAAGGCATTAGTGATTGTGCAGATGCATAGGTGTGTAAGAGAGTAAGACTGAGACGGTGCAATGATAGCATCAGAAATTGTCTACGGTTGATAACACAACACATAGAGATTTAAATAATTTAATTTAGTTTAATTTAATTTACAAGCCAACAACCAGAGAAACTTAAAATAGTGTAGTAAATCTTCTTCCTCGGTAGGATCAGATCAATGGGCAATGCTAGTAACTCTAAAGAATAGCAGCTAATATTCTTGACATATACTGAGGGAGCTATAAGGAGAAGTGAAAATAGAAATGGTGAAAAGTGGTCATCTCAGCGAGCAGGACAGTGAGGAGTGGGGAGTGGGGATATGCACCTGTTATTTTCATCATTATGATGACATTTACATTTAAGTGATTTTTAAAATCTGCAGCTTTAGTTTGATTCAACTACTTAAAATATTAATGATAAAAAATTAAATAGCCATATTGTTATTAAGCAGTGCTTCTTAGCTTTAGTTAAGTTAAACCAGGACAGATTTGTATCTAAGGCCTGCTTCTACCGAGCTTACTTTGGAGGGACAGTATAAGATAAAATGAGTAACGATCTCTAAAACAGTACACGAAACGAACCTGCCGTGTTAACAAACATGAAAAATGTCATAAACCTAACTGAATTTTAAGTCTACACAGATAAATCCTCTTATGAATTATGTTATGAAATCAATGATCCCTTTAATAATTGAATCTCCTAATTGAATTTAAAATACTGTATTTTACAGGGAACAAAGTGATGGTTGTCTATGGGAAGAGAGGTAGGGGGGATGGGTAAAATGGGAGAAGGAGAGAGGGAGGCCAGGCTTCCAGTTATGAAATGAATAAATCAGAATAAAATAAAATAAATCAGAATAAAACGCACAGCGTAAGGAATATAGTCAATGATATCCTAATAGCTTTTTTGCATGGTGACAGATGGTAGCTTGTGGTGAGCACATGATCATGTAGAGATTGTTAAATCACCGTGTTGTACACCTGAAACTACTGTAACATTGTGTGTCAACTATACCCAGATAAAAAATTAAAAATAAAATAAAATACTGTATTTTATTTACCTATACACGTTTTTCAGACAACTTAAAATACTATGTTTATGGAAAACATATGAACATTTAAAAATCAAATATAAGTTTGAATATAAAATAAAGCTTAAGTGCTAATATATATTTAATAGAATTATAATAAATAGTCATGTAATGACTTACAAGATGTTGTGTGAGAAAAACTTTGTGAAACTCCATCAAATTTTCCATTGTTATAGTAGACCTGAATTTCAATAGTAAAAGAGAAAATAGTTTTCCAATGTAAATTTATTTATCATAATGTAGCACATACCTTACTTCTCATACAATGCTATTTAATTTAATATATACAGGATAACTTTAAAATCAAAATCAAGGTTAGGTCAATATGTTGTTATCAAATATTTTTTAACAAAATATTTAACAGTGAAAAAGACAAGGAAATATTAGCCTATTTGGCAGTAGTAATAATAATAATAATAATAATAATAATGGTTATAATCAGCAAGAATAAGTGAAACTGAAGATATAAAATCCACACATCAAAGTATTCAAATTTTTAAGTTAAAATTCCCTATTGATAAGCTGATATCTTTACATTGGCAAATTTGGAAAATATGGATCTAAGTTTTTACCCTTTGGAGGATATAAAAATCCCTAGTATTCACAGAGTATTTGTAAACATTCATTATACATTGAGCTATAAAAAATACTTTATAAATTCCAAAAAGTAGGAATTGCAAAAGCTAATGATCTTTTTACAGCTAATAATTAATAACAATAAAATCCAAGCACCAGAAATGCGAAAACACTCTCTTTAAAAACAGATAAATTAAAAACTCTTTCAAATTGCAGATATAAATTCTTTGGAAGTTATCAATAACAAGAACATTCTACTTTAAAATCCACTTGTTAAACTTTATGTCAGTCACTTAAAAATTAGTAACAAATAACACAGTCATGGCATGGCATACAGTCAAAATTTTACCAAAGGACAGTTTATAGCTTTAACTTTTCTTTTTTTGTTATTTTGTTGTTAGATAATAAAAATAGAAAGAGATGGACAGAAAAATACTTTTAATCCCAAATTACCAGGAGAACATAAAAATAAATCCACGTTAATTAAGTATGATAAAAACAACTTCATCAATCTACTAACCAGAGATCACAATGAAGAATAAAGCTAAGGTGATTGGTTCCTTGTGATGGCATAAATTTTGTAGTGGAGACAAAACGAAACATGAAAATGAATTATGTAATGTGCAATGAAGAAAACAAGAGACAATCTTCTGGAGGGCAGAGAAAAGAATGAATTACTAAATAATTATATACCAATTGAAATTTGAAGATTGTATTTTAATATGATGTTTACTTGTATTTTTCCAGAATAACTTATCATATTGACAAATAGGAGAAGAAAATTCTAGAGAGAGAAGAGCATTAGATAAAGTACCTAAATATATGTAGTTGAGAAACTGAAAAGAAATAGAATTTAATGGGTGGATGCTGGAAAAGTAACGGGAGATGAAATATAACGTATACGATATGTGATAACAAAATATTTCTTTTATATGGACTATTCTTTGGAAAAAAAGTGTAAAATATCTGAAAGAACAATGATATTGAAAGAAAATGTAAATGGTTCAGAAAGAATTCGTCTGTGTTAAAAGTCTTAATTAAAACAAATTACTCAGAGAACAAATCATCCCTGTTCTATTTAAAGTTATAAAATGTAGAAAAACAGGAAAATGTCTCCAATGTGCTTTATCAGGTTAGCACAACCTTTATACCAAAATATAGTAAGAATGATGCATGGCCATGCCTATGCCAAATGCCTATGCCCACTACCTCTACCCCCTTATTGAGTGATCTCATTGATGAATTTCCATTCATAAAGACAAAAAAAATAAGCTATTTAATTCAATTATACTTTCAAGGAATAATGCACAACAACAGAGCAAGACTTTCTCTTAGAATGTGACATGGTTTAGCATCACAAAACCTATTACTATAATTCACCATATAAACAAATCACATCATGTCATCACAACCATGGCATCATCTAATATAGTGCAATAGAAACATTTGATGTCTCCGATTAAACAAATGAGAAGAAAGGTTATATATTTATATACATTATAATATATAAAATATAAGAAATATATAATATATACATATGTATATATAAATGTATATAATATGTATAATATATGTTATTATATATATGAACACTTCTTTAAGTGATAAAGGATATGAAACCAATTGTCAACATTATATTGAAGAGTCAACTATTGACTGTGGAAATTTTCATTAAATCAGAAATAAAACTGATAAATTTGGCTAAATAAAGATAAAAGGAAAAACTGTGTGACTTAAAGTATTATAAATAAAATTTAGAAACAAACTCCAGACTGGGAACAAAACTTGCAACTCATAAGACAAAGAGTTGAATATCATCAATATTTGAAAAGTTCCCCGAATAAAACTGGGCAAAGGATGTAAAGAGTATGTTACCACAGGAGCCATAATGGTAACAACAAAAACTATATTTATCTTCAACAGCAAAACAAAAAGAGACGTCAATACCATATTTCACCTACTAAACATCAAAGAAAAAGGACATGCTCAGTATTGGTGAGACTCTCAAGAGCAGTCACTTCATATACTGTAATAGGAAGAATAATTTGGTAACTTGCAGAAAAAAAAATCATCACAAACACTCTTAAAATAAATTCCTTTTGACCCAAAACATTTGTTATCAGGAATTCATTTAAACAGAAATGGCTAAAGACACATTCAAAGATCTTGCTTTTTACCCGTGAGTGTGTTTGTGGATTGTTGTTTATAGCAGAGATGAAAACAAGCACAGTTCGTAGAATGTGATAAAGCCATATGATAAAATCTTATACGACCCTTAAAAATTGCATAGTAGCAGAATATTTAACGTGGAAGAATGTTCACGTAGTGATATACGAAAAAGTGTGTGTTCAGAATGTTGATAATATATATAAGCTGCGTATATATAAATATGCATCACATGGGATGGAAGTTGTGAGATAATGGAAAATATATATTGGTCTCTGCCCGGTTCCTGTTTCAGGAACAGAACTCCTGAAACCCTTAGAATTTCCCTGATAGGAGTGTCTTTCATTCTAACGAGGTGAATGAGTGGGCTCCCGACCGAGGGCTAGTCATTGGAAGGATAAAGCCATGAGTAGAAGCTTGGAATTTTCAGCCCGGCCACCCGTTATCTCAAAAAGGTAGAAGGGCTGAAAATGAAGTTAACGACTGATTATTAATCTTTCCGATCGATTTTTTAAAAATCTCCAAAGAACAAGGTTTTGGGGGAGCTATCAGATGGCAAACACACCCACATCAAGAGAGTGATGCACCCCAACTTCATGGGAACAGAAGCTCCCGTGTGTGGAGCCTTCTCAGACATCACCCTAGGTAGCTCTTCTTCTGAATGCTCATTTGCATCCTTTATCAGATCCTTTAATAAGCTGGTAAATGTAAATAAGCATTTCCCCGAGTTCCATGAGCCACACAAATAATCAGACCTAAGGAGAGGGTCATGGGAATCCCTGATTTGTAGCGAAGTTGGACAGAAGTTGAAGGTAACGTAGGGACCAACTACTTGCACTTGGCATCTGAAGTGGGGTGGGAGCAGTCTTGTGGGACTGAGCCCTTAACCTGTAGAATCTGCCACTATCTCCAGGCAGATAGTGTCTGATTTGACCTAAATTGTAAAACACCCAGCTGGTGCCATGAAGACTTGCTTGATACGGGGAAAAGCCCCCACCCATTTAGTGACCTGAGGTGTCATCAGTGTAGTCTTGCCTGTGAACAGTACAGGAGACTCACAGAGGACACAGAACAGAAGACTGAGCTGGGGTTTTTCCCTACAACCAGGGCAAAGACGGAGTTTTTTCATTTTCGAGGTACATTCACAAAATGATTAGTAGACACTAAGCTTGCGGATGAGTTTTTTCATTCCCCATGTTCACTGGTATTTCCTAATGTCTATTTCTACTGTTTTCTAACCTGGATGTACCTGTAAGATATTTCGTAATTAAAAAATTCATGTTAACAAAGACAAAAAGTCAAGGTAAATAAAAGATTTGACAAAGTCATATGCCACGGCATTAAAATGTTGTGCTTCTTGACACAGGAGCAATACTTTTGCTGTAAGTAAATCATTTTGAAGGTCAAAAATATACCAACAAAATATTTACCTGAAACCACTGTTTTAAGAACTAGAGATGCAGAGTTTGGAGTTAAACATAAGGCGTTTCTAAGGCTTCATTAGACTTTAAATGTGATTTCATTAGACACAGAGTTTCTCCAGCTCACATGAACGCTGATCTTAGTATTATTTAAGTAGGACCTAACAGTCATATGATGTATATCAGTACTATAGTGATTATAGAAGTTATACTCTTACCTTAAACTTATATTCTGTTGAATAGTGAAGATTTTCTACAAGGAATTCGCAAGTTTTGTTAGGCAAATCGTTAACCAGGACATCTCCAGTTCTGACTTGCAGGTGGTAGTCGCCATCCTTGGGGCCATTATAGTCAGCAGGAGGCTTACACTTCACTTGCACACTATTATCTGACTTCCGTGAAAAATGTAAGTCCCTGACTGGGCCTGGAACTATCAAAATGAAGAAACATTTGTTACTTTAGACCCTTTGCAAATGCATATTTAAATCACTGGGCAATATACGTGTACAATGTAAATTATCTTAAGTGTTGATTTTGCAGGTTATGGATGAGGAAGTCATAATAGCATATACGTCAAAACGCTGTAACAAAACACCTAAAGATAAACCAGCTAGTCATTTAATAAATATTAGCATATATGTTGTGCTTGAAGTCATGAGAGTTTATGCCACCCCCTAAGGGGAATATATAGAATTAGAGGAGAGAAGGAAAGAAGGGGAAGTGGAGAGGAGGGGAAGGAAGGGGCAGGGAGAGAAGAGGATGATACAGGACCCTGAGGGCCTCTATAAAGTCCAGTACCTCCATTGTTTTTTGAGATTTTTGATTTTAAGTAATCTCTACACCCAACATGGGGCTCGAACTCACAACCCCAAGATCAAGAGTTGCATGCCCTACCCCCTGAGCGAGCCAGCCAGCTGCCCCGAGCTCCTCTGTTCTTGAGGTACGTACAGGACCCTAGTTAACCACCTGGCTGGCTGCTTTCTTCAGGAGCAGCAACAAATTATCTTTGTTTTCTGTGACTTCACAGAAATTTAGGAAAATAAAACTATAAAGCTCAAGGATCTGGCCTTTTTTTTTTTAAGTTTTATTTATTTATCTGAGTAGAGAGAGTGAGTGAGAGAGAAAGCGTGCATGCAAGAGCGGCAGGGAGAGAGAGGCAGGCTCTCGCTGGGTAGGGAGCCCAACGCAGGGCTCGATCCCAGGACCCTGAGGTCAGGGCTTGAGCTGGAGGCAGGTGCTTAACCAGCTGAGCCACCCAGGCACTCTGAGGATCTGGACTTTTAAAACCAGAACCTAACCGACATTACATTTCATTAAAAGCATTCTACTATCAGCCCCGAATAAGACTTTTTTTTTTTTTTTTTTTTTTCATGAGCCTGGTGCCAGATACTGGCTGACACCGGGGCGTTTCTTCCTTCCTGACTTCCTTCCTCTCCTGAGAGATAGATTTAGCTTTAGATCCTGGAAACTATAACTACATCATACAGTTGGCAAGAGGCCTTTGAAAGGAAACTTCGAATGCAAATGTGCCATAAAATAAAATAGGTAGTTAAGCGTAACAAAGAGAAGAAAAGGCCAATAAAGTAGTATGTTTTATAAGGTGGTTTGTCAGGTAAGCAGAGGTTAGTAAGTGACTGATTTGCTCTCCAAGTGAGACGTTACTGGGCATCTGATTACAGTTAGTATTTCTAGATACTAAAGAAAACAATAGATCATGCATTTTTATCTAAGTTGATTAGGTACCTAAATGGCCTGAAATCTTAAAAATTGTACCAGTTAATATGCCCTCGTGCTTCATTCTTACGATTCTATGATAATACACAAGGAATACAGAGAACCCAGGGTACCAGTTTTCAAGTCACTGTATTTTAAGTCATTATAAACCCTAGATGTTAACACATGAGCCACTGAGCCACGTCAATGTGTTTCCCAAATGAAGCGTAAGGATGGATGGATGCTGTACTCAAGAGTTCATACTTCGCTCCTTGCCTTTCCCAGGACGAAAAAACAAAGCATATAACTTACCTGCTTCATTTGTCAGAACATCACACTCTTCAGAACTTCCTTCACGTCGCACTTTTCCATTGGCGTAGGCCTTTATTGATACCCTGTACCTTGTATAAGGTTTCAACTGTTGCAGTTGATGTTGTTTCACTGTTTCACCCAACTCTTGGCACATTTCCTGACGGAAGTAAGCTTCTTCGAGGCCAGAGGCATGTGACTGAATATCTATAAGGGAAAAAAAGGAAGCATTACAAATGAAAGAAGGAGCATTCTGAATGTAGGGATGAGCCTGACACGAGCAGCAGATTCTGGCCGGAAGGTGTAGGGGACGTAGGACCAAGCCGTAGAGTTAGCATTTGTTAAACTGCAAATTCCCCAGCTACTATTTTTGAGTAGCCAAATGGCATCAGTCAAGACGTATTAAAAGAAGATCAAAGTTGGCATCAAGAGGCTGGATAGCAATTACATGATAATATGATGATCTTGATGATGATGATGATGATGATGATGATCAAAATAATGAATAGATAGATCACCCTATGTGCCAAGCACAATCATACGTGGTGTACACGGATTCATTAGCACCAGAGGCCGGTTCTCTTAATATCATCACATTTTACAGACGAGAAAACTGAGCCATAGAAACATTAAGCAATCAGCCCGTGAGCTCACAGGGAAGGAGGAACAGAGTCAGGATGGGAACCAGGCTTTGAGGTTCCAGAATCTATGCTCTTGTCTTCACCACTGTGCATACTGTCTGGTGCGGAAGAAGGGACAAGGGTTTGCAGTGGGGCCAAGACGGTTTTTTGGTCTTGGACACCTCACTTCTCTGGTCCAGCTTGCTGTGCCTGTGGACTTGCCAAAATAGTATCAGAAAAGATCTAACACTAATTTCTTGTCTCAGTTACTTATCCATAATACGGAGATGCTACATAATATCTCTACTTTACCACGGAATCCTAAATAAGTAAGATACGGTGCTCCAACCTGATGGTCTATTTTCCCAGAAATCCCCAAAGCTAGAGTTAACTGAGGCACACTTGCCATTGCCAGCTCAGTTCTACTCTCTCCCCAGTTAGAATTCTCTTTGAGGGCAGGAAAGGTGTGAGCTCAGAGAGGGGCAGGCACCCAACCCCCCACTCCCCCACCCCCACTCACAGCTTCTGCGTGCTCCTTCCATGGCATCTGGCAGCTAGAACGATGCCCAACTTCTTACTCAGCTAAAATCTAAATATCAAGATGCTGTTATCAAGGCCATTCTGGCTTCCACTCAGTGACCTAATTTTGTATGTTTGCATATATAACCTCACAACCTTTCTGTATCAAAACGATTCATTTATGTAGTTCTATGAAGCTTTTATCCTAGCTCATTTGATAAAAGTCAAATTTCTGATTTAATTTTGAAGAATGTGTTGTTCAAAAGATACTGCTATTTGGGAATTAAAGTTTTCAGTGCTTAAAAAGGTGGTTCAGAATGTTCATTTCCAGTTGAAAAGGGTTTCAAGCTTTTGGTTGCAGGGCCAAGATATTGTATGTGCATATCTCTGCCTCTTCTACTTTGTCTAAAGGACACTGAATCCAAAAGCACATGTTGTACAGAACATGTTAAGGATTAATTTGACATAGTACTTTGAAATTTGTCTTTTCTTAGAGCAACAGAGAGACAGACCTAACTTTCAAGTCACATATGTTACACTTAAGGGTTAGAAAGACACTGGCTTCCTTACTTGTCATTTCCTTTTTTTTTTTTAATATATCAATACCTCAGGAAATCCATTAACAACTTCCTAGATGGCTCTAAAGTATCTTCTTGAACCTTGAACACTATGCCACATAGTGTAAACCTGTTGATCCCCAAAGAATTTTGTGCTGGAATGAAAAGAAAAAAAATAGCCTTTTTCTGGAGAAGAAGAAGGAGGAGGAGGAGGAAGAGGAGGAGGAGGAGGATGAGGAGGAAAAGAATAAAAAGAAAAAAGATATTATGCAAAATTTCCAGCAACATTATTACAATCTTGAAGGGTGCAGACTGGTTTCAGTAACCTTTAAAAATAATACTTTGAAAAAAATAAAATAAAAATAATACTTTGGATGCAACAAAGCATAGAAGTCTGTTCTCCATTGCTGAGAGCTTGACATCCTTAATTAAGCTAATACAAAATACTGCAGTGCCCCAAAGTAGCTCATGCTAAAAACATCACAACACAGTAACAAAAAGAGCTGCTGAATTTGAACATTTTTCAGAAGTTCTGTGACCCTCAGTTGCATCATATGAACTATGAATACATTTATGCAGCTCTCCTTTCAGCGTTATTATTGAGATGTTTAAGAGAATCTTAAAATATTACAAAAACGGGCAGCCTGGGTGGCTCAGCGGTTTAGCGTCGCCTTCAGCCCAGGGCCTGATCCTGGAGACCCGGGATCGAGTCTCACGCCGGGCTCCCTGCATGGAGCCTGCTCCTCCCTCTGCCTGCCTCTCTCTCTCTCTCTCACTCTGTGTCGCTCATGAATAAATAAAGAAAATCTTAAAAAAAAATACAAAAACACCCAATGAACAGAAGAAACTAAATAAATGTTAATACCACTTTCTTCCTTTTTCAATACCTAATATTCAGAGACCCTGAAATGAATGAATTTTGAAATAATGAAATAAAATGTAATACCTAATTTAGAAAAGTAATATAAACCGCAATAGTACTTCATAAGCTTCATTCCTGTGAATTTTTTAGAGATTTATGTATTTATTTTAGAGAGAGAGAGAACGTGGAGGGGTGAGCAGCAGAGAGAATCTTCAAGCCGACTCTGAGTGCAGAGCTTGATCCCAGGACCCTGAGATCATGACCTGAACCAAAATCAAGAGTCAGAGGCTTAACCAACGGAGTCACCCAGGAGCCCCAGTCCTCTGGATTTTGAATAGTGACATTATTTGAAATAGTGAGAATGGTTAAAAGAATCACTTTAACAATATTATAATCCTATCAACTTCATGATAAAATGGAAGGGGATCCCATGGCAGATGTTTGAGATGAGTGGACGAACAGCAGAATGCTCTTCTGCTTAGGGCAGTTGATTTTGATAGCTGTAGGGGAGAACGGACTGTGTGTAGGCTGGTTCCAAACGGTTCTTCAAGCAGGTGCAGGATCCAAGGCAGAGATTGGATTCAGTTATCAATCAACAGTTTTGGAGGAAACAACACACATACCGCAATATGGGCCAGCTCGCCCTTTTCCTCCTCCCAATCCTGTTCGTGTTATTTAAATGTATTTAAGCCCCATATTTGGGTAGCTCTAAATAAAAAGGAGCCACACTAGTTGCAAAAAAAAAAAAAAAACTTGTCAGACTGCTAATAAATAATTACATCCCCCTTAACCTGATTTATTAAAATACAGGTTTTTAAAAACTGTATAGAGTGTAAAGGGCAATAAACACTGCTCATAAATTTTCACCATATACCCTTCCATACAAAATACTCTGTGGCAGACAGTGTAGAAAAGAAAGAATGCGGAGCAAGGAGTAGTGAGTAGAAGATTCAGAGAAGAGAAGAGAAAGCCAGACAATGTGTCCACGCAGAATCCAAACCAAGAAAGTTTGTACAAGTGATGTCTGATGAAGCAGCAAGTGTCTAATTGTCTTGCTATTTTTTCCTCCTGCGATTTCCATTTTTTCCTTTCTCTTAGACTTAACTTTTGAAATTACCATAACATCAAATACATGACATATATTTCTTCTCCACAACCGCTGAGCCCTCTTAGGCTACTTTGAAAATGCATTGTGTATTTGACTTTGCTTTACTAGTTTCATCATTAAGATTCAAACAATCAGCAGAAGTAATGTCATTAAAATATAAAATAGCATGCTAAAAACAAGTGATTTCAGCATTTTAAATTTATGTCTGTTTTGCCCACCAAACAGAGAGATGGAACTCTGTGTGATGTTCGGCTCGGCGCTACTGTAGAGCTACAAGTAAGGGATTGGCAAGTGGGTCATGTCATGTGCTGAGTCTGCTTGGAGAGGGTCCACTGATGCTTGCATTTTTCTACAAGCATTTTGGATACTTTAAGTTATCTGGGAGATGTTTTTCTCTTAAATAGCTTCTCATTTGGAGGACTCATGGTTGAACGAGACATAACACATTTTGGGGGGCAACATTTATGTCCGCAAAGTCTAACTAGAACTATGTTCCAAGATTCCATCTGCCACCAAACTGGCTTCCATGACTAAATGGGTACATGTCCATTTTTATTTACCCGATATTTTCTGTGCGTCACCAGGAGCAAGGTTTGGAAGGCATTTGATTGTTTCTTTCTGGGCCTGAATAATGAGTTCAAACCGTGCAACTCACATGTATTTGGAAGACAATATTGAGTATTATCTTCCAGAGATTTTCTTTCTCCAGACTTTGGAGTTAAAGATTGGAAGTTACATCAGGAAAGACAAGCAAATATTGGGGATGTTCTGGACTTAGTCATGTCAGAGGCTGGAGAGCCCATAGTGAGTAGAGGTTGTTCTAAAATCAAGGCAGATTAGGGATAGCCCTGGTGGCCCAGCGGTTTAGTGCTGCCTTCAGCCCAGACTGTGGTCCTGGAGACCTGGGATCGAGTCACACATCGGGTTCCCTGTGTGGAGCCTGCTTCTCCCTCTGCCTGTGTCTCTGCCTCTCTCTCTCTCTCTCTCTCTCTCTCTCTCTCACTCTCTGTGTCTCTCATGAATGGATAAATAAAATCTTAAAAAAATAAAATCAAGGCAGATTGAGTGCCCATAACAGTCACTCTGTGGTTCACTAGTTCAATCCACATTTCTAATGTTTTCCACTTCTGGATTTATTTTTCCTGACATAGAATTAAATTGCATACAAATTACCTGCATTACTGTGATAACAAACACTGTAACCATGAAAAGTATTTGTAGGGGGTTCCCAGGTGATCACTATGCTATTTGCGTTTTCACTGCTGCAGGTAAGATTCTCAGGTGGGTCTGGACCTGTTAAAAGAATAAGAATACAAAATATTAAAAGTAAGACATGGAAAATACATTCTTCAAATCATAATTATGATGATCAATAAACCACATATTGAGGATGGAATTAATGAAATAAAAAGAAAGACATCTGGTCTTATTCAATTTGCTTTAGAGGTCCCTTGACAGAGGAAACGTCACTCTAAAGTGGTACTGTGGACCCAAAGTATTCTACTGACATGAAGATAATGGTCTTGGAGAAATGCCTTGTTTCCTGAATTAAATGATATGTAAAATGGTTGAACTGTTATTTTCTAAGGCTGAAGGATTCTTACATTATTGGAGTAAAACTTACATAAAAACATTATTATTATTATTATTATTATTATTATTATTATTATTATTATTAAAGGCTTACTTTTTTAAGAGCAGTTTTAGATTCACAGCAAAATTGAGGGGAAGGTATTGAGATTTCTCATATTCCCCTGCCTTCACACATGCATAGTATCCCCCATTACTAACCTCCCCCACCAGGGTGGTCCCAGTGATGAGCGCACACTGACACATCACCATCTCCCAGGGTCCATAGTTCATATTAGGGCTCACTCTGAGCGTCATATATTCTATGGGTTTGAGCAAATGTATCATATGACATGTACCCATTATTACGGTATCGTACAGAGTATTTTTACTGCCCTAAAAATCCTCTGTGCTCTATTTATTTCTCCCTCCTCTCCCACTCCTGGCAGCCACTGATCTTTTTACCGCTTCCATAGTATTTTCAGAATATCATAGAGTCAGAACCATACAGTATGTAGCCTTTCATCAGGTAGTAAGGGGCACTTAAAGTTCTTTCATGTCTTCCCATGGCTTGACAGCTCATTTCTTTTTAGTGAGAATACTACTCCATTGTCCGATTATACTATAGTTTACCCATGCACCTACTTAAGCACATCTTGGTTGCCTCTGGGTTTTGGCAATTATGAATAAGGCTCCTGTGAACAACCCTGTGCAGGTTTTTGTGTGGACATAACTTTTCAACTCCTTTGAGTAAATACCAAGGAGTGTAGATTGTATGGTAGTAGTATGTTTCGTTTTGCGGAAACCACCAAAATGTCCTCCAGAGTGTGGCTGTACCACTCGCATTCCTACTAGCCAAGAATGCTTTTATTTTGGATTGCAGCCTTGTTCCGTGTGTTGTAAGTACCTGATGCTCTGAGTGTTCCAGATTCTGGACACTCTAATAGGCATGTGGTAGTATCTCATTCTTGTTTTCATTTGAATTTCCCTGATGGCATGGGATGTAGAGCATCTTCTCATATCCTTATTTGCCACTTGTATATCTTTTTTTTTTGGTAATTATATATATTTTTAATACACTGAAGGATCCTACTTTGCTAATACTTAATTTACTATTTGGTATGTATGTTCACAGGAGACACTGGCCTATAGTTGCCTGAGTCTTTCTCAAGTTGCAAATTCACTGAACATTAACCTTAAGCCTATCCCAAACCTTAAGAATAATCAAAATGAGCTGATAGAGTTCCATGTCTTCTATTCTGTTGAGTAGTTTGAACACGTGGCAAATTTGTCTTCATGTTTTTTTTTTTTTTGTCTTCATGTTTTCTTAAGAGCAAGCGAGAGAAGCAGACAGTGAGTGGGAAATGAGTAGAGAGATATTGGACTGTAAGGTTAATTCCAATTTTCTAACCCCTCCCACGTAAATTTTCAGAATTTGTGAGCTCTAGAAAATTATTCATTTTACCTAACTTTTCATATTGGAAGCAGAATTGCTTTTAATTTGTAAAAATAATTTACTCTTAGTTCTCTTTTTTCTTCAGTCAATAGGAGGGTTTCATTTTTTGCTAGAGGCCTACTTTATTATTCTTTTAAAAAACAAGTCTTTACGTTGCTGAATAAATTCTTACTATAATTTTGTTCCTTCTTTCAATAACTTTTTTTCTCTCTTCTTTCAATAACTTGAAACTCTACACTTGGTTATTTTCTCCCTTCTACTATATTTGCATTTTGTTGTTTTGGTTCTTAAAAGCACTCTCCATTGGTTGTCATTTGGCAGACAGCAAAGTGATAAAACTTCTCCTAAAATATCACTTGCTCTCCCTTCAGGCCACAAAATCCTGCCACATTATGTCTTTACTCAAGTCTGATTATCTGTCTTTCAAAAGGTAAATTGAGGCCATATTTATTTGTGGTGACTTTTGACATATCGTGGCATATTTCTGCTGTCTTACTTACTGCTTTCTACTAGTATTTTTTTTCTCTCCCTTTCTCTTTCCCTCCCTGACACTTCCACTCCTCCACCTCCTCTTCTCCCTCTCTCCCTCTCTCTCTCTTTTCCTCCTCCTCCTCTTCCTCTTTCCTCTCCCTCTGCTTCTTCTTCCTTTTCTCTACTACTTTTTCCTCCTCTCTCTGTCTTTCTTTGGTGGTTACTCATCAATTGTCATACACATAATTCACATATTTTTTCCTAATAGATTCTACATTTTGGAATCTCCATCCTTCTGTTGAATAGGAGTGGAATTTTAGCACTTTTTCCTCCCTTCACCGAATCTCCAACCCCCCAAATGCTATGATTTTTCCAGAATGGTATTTTCCAACTGTTATTGGCTATTGCAGTCTTGTGATTTACATTGCTGGCATCCTAGTAAGGCTAATTATTATTTTGCCATTGATATTTAGATTTGCTGCTGTGTTTACTAGCCATGTGCTCACTCCTGTCAAAGGCAGCGCTTGACAGAAGGGCAGAGGGTGCAGTAGCACACCAAGAGAATGATGCTGCAGGAGGAAAGGGGAATTGAGTGAGCAAAGCATATCATTACCTCAGTTTTGTTTCTACCTTAATCTCACAACAGCCTGCAATTTGCAGTTGAAACAACAAACAAGCAAACACACACACACACAGAAAAACTTGACAAAAGTTTGGATCTGTGCTCATGCGTTTTGAAATCCTACTTTAAAAACGCGTACGTATCCATTTCTTGAAACCTCTTCTCCACATCTACAACATCATTTTCTGTGCTCCTCAAAGAACTGTAAGAATATAAGAAGAAATTTTACGCATACGCGTAAGCAATATACTCACTTCCAAAATCTGTTTCAATAATTTTACTTAAGTTCAAAACAAGCTGGCCATTATAGGATACATTCAAGTAACAGAAATAATATGTTTCAGGTAAAAAGCCTTCCCATTCAAACTGCATCTCTTTAGATGGAGTACGATTATCTGAAAGAAATAAATATCCCATATTAGTATATGAATACAATATATCACATTTAACTTTCTCTTTAGATTGCATAACTATAATATCTGTCAGATGGGAAACTTTTACAAATAGTAAATAATATGTAAAAGATACTAGGAACTATCATCATAATGCACAATTTTCCCACACTCAATTTTAAAGAAAATATTAAGAAGTCTAACTGAGTTTGAGAGTCTCTCTAATTTAATTGATGGAATGAGTTCTCTGTTCGGAAGCTGAGACTGAATCTGTGCTAGCCTTTGCCTAATAGGTACTTTAGATACATCATTGTTTTATCATCAGTTCATCGTGAGTTTGTTCTTGCTTTCCTCACACTACCTGTCTCATAGCCATGAATCTTCTTTATAGCATGATGACTACACCCAGAGTCACTCTGCACCCTTGGTGTACGTGTGTATGTGTGTCTGTCTATTTGAATTGCCAAGTATGGCTCAGCAGATAGATTTATACCAAAAAAAGGAGCTTCCACTTTAATAAATTCCAATGTAAATAAATCATTAAGTCATTAGTTATTAAAAAGAACCTGTATCTCAATTATTGTCCCCTATATGAACCCAAATTCCTATTCCTCAGGGTACTTACTGTACTTTTCCCATTTTTGTCTTTCATGTAAGTGTTCTTAAGGTTGTCTATAAATTTTGTTGATGGAGGGCTGACCACATAAACTCTTGAGTTGTATGACTTTACTTTTGCTTTTTATTTATTTTATTTTTTTTACGTTTGCTTTTATTACAGTATGTGTATCATAATTATCCTATTACATCCTTCTCTGATAATCCTTAAACAATGCCTTGGGCATTGTGTATAACAGTTGCCAAGAAAATTCTTGTAAATTGATTGACTTTTACTATTTCAAAGATTATCTTTTTGGGAATGTATTTGTCTGTTTGGTGAATGTGAGTGCTATAAAGAATACAAAGTTTTGACTCCAAGTATACTATGGATCAAAAGAGTGGGGGGTGGGAGGAAGGTAGAGAGTGGTGGGGGGCTTAAGAGGGAGGAAGAAGGGAAGGAGGGAGGGAAGGAGACAGGAAGGAAGAAAGGAAGGAGGAAGGAAGGCATAGATAATATCTAGAACAACTTTCTACCATAAAAATACTCTAATCAAAGCTATATTCTTACCACACTGAAGTCTGTATTTAATTTTACTTTTGTCACAAGTAAAGTTTTTCTTTTGTTCTACTCTTACACAAATAGAAGTATTTGCTTTCTCTTTCTGTGTACAATCTTCCAGATCAAAATTTCCAGGATCTGTCAAAAAGCAGATATAGAAATAGATGATGAGTGTTTCATGATGTGTGCCACATGCTCAATTAAAGTGACTGAAATTATATTCATAATATAGCCTTTGGCAAGCATTTAGAGTGCTTTTGACAGAGTCTAATAATTCAGAGTTTTGCATGTCTCAGTTTTTTAGCTTATTCTTTTTAATATCACGCATTTGGGCAGCATTTTATTGAGAATTTATTTTGCCTTTAAAAAAATGGAACCCAAGCAAATGTATAGATGAAATTACATTTTTTTGTACATTTTAAAACACTCTCTTCATTCTTCTTCTTACTTATATCTTCAGTTTTTTAATTACTCTGATTTTTTAATTAAACGATTATTACACAGAGTTATGGGGGTTTCTTCCTCGGGGAATGCGTCTTTTAAGTTGTCATTTTCTGTTTCTAATTGACAATTAACTTCAGTAACTTTTCAAAAAATATCAAACTTTAACCTACGTATTTTTAAAGTTTTTACTTTAACTCTAGTTGGTTAACATATGGTGTAATATTAGTTGCAAGTGTACAGTTTAGCAATTCAACAATTCCATACAGTAACAAGTGCACTCCTTAATCCCCATCACCTACTGATCCCCTTTCCCCTCTGGTAACATCAGAGTGTTCTCTATAGTTAAGAGTCTGTTTCTTGGGACGCCTGGGTGGCTCAGTGGTTGAGCAACTGCCTTTGGCTCAAGGTCTGATCCCAGGTCCGGGGATTGAGTCCTGCATCAGGCTCCCCACGGGGAGCCTATTTCTCCTTCTGCCTGTGTCTCTGCCTCTCTCTCTGTGTCTCTCGTGGATAAATAAATAAAATCTTCTTTTTTAAAAAAAGAATCTGTTTCTTGCTTTCTCTGTCTCTCTGTCTCTCTCTCCCTCTCTCTTATTTTTCCCTTTGTTTGTTTCGTTTCTTAAATCCCATATTTGAGTGAAGTCATATAGTACTTGTCTTTCTCTAACAATTTCACTTAGCATTATACTCTCTAGCTATATCCATGTTGTTGCAAATGGCATATCCAATAAAGGGCTAGCATCCAGAATATATAAAGAGGTTATACAAATCAACGCCTAAAAAACAAGTGACCCAATTAAAACAGGGGCGGAAGGCATGAACAGACATTTCTTTAAAGGTGACATGCAGATGGCCAACAGACCCATGAAGAGATGCTCATCATCACTTATCATCAGGGAAATGCGAATCAAAACTACATGAGCTATAGCATCACACCCACACCCGTCAGAATAGCTAAAAGCAACCACACTAGAAACAAGAGGTGTTGGTGAGGATATGGAGAAAAAGGACCCCTCCTGCACTATTGGTGGGAATACCAACGGGTGTAGCCCCTGTGGAAAACAGTAGGAATAAATTACACCTAATCTACACGAAACACTGTGTAAAAGGAGTGTAGGGAAGGGAAAATAATTAAGAAGACTTATAAGAGTTTTAACTTCACTGGGTCAGGAGAACGGAAAGTTCACCCACTGGCCTCCAGCTGACTTCCTGTCCCTCATCCCTGCTCACTCAGCCGACAGATTCCAGCAACCACTAGAATGCAAGACACATAGAATTGTACTTTTTTGCATATATACAAATAGAAACCAATTTATATTTACCTGGTGGTACCTCTAAGGTTAAGGTTTTATCTGGACTGACACATGAACTGTGACTTATAGTAACATTCAGGTTTTCACATTCTTTTAGGTTAGAGATCACATTGTTCTCACATTGGGCACAATTCACGGTATCATTAACATTTAGTTTTGCTACAAATGAGTTAGGTTCATAATAATAATATTCCACGGTGATATCTGCGTATCTGTCCTCTGAAAGAAAAAAAGTGAGGGTTATTTATCATTAAATTTTTTTTTCAAAACAAATAAACCTACCTCAAATGCAAACACCTTAATACAGATTTTCAAAAATATCAAGTATCTAACAAAATATCCCCAGAAACATTAAAATGAGAAGAAACACATCAAGTGTATCCGTAATTAATTTTTCGAAATTCCCTTTTATTGCTGCCCATCAAGGACCTCAGCTCTTAAGTTTATACTTGGGTGGTTAATAGATTACTGTCTTCCTAACTAGACTGTATTTTCTATGACAGCAAAGTCCAGTCTACATTGATCATCATCATAAACCCAAATTGTTGCATGAAACTTGTCATTAGCACGGGCTCATTTGTTTGAATTATTTGTTGAATGATGCACAAATGAATGAGGTGTCTAGCAAATTTCTTCTTGCTTTATCATTTTCCTTTCTTTCTGAAATGCAGTTTTTGATTACCTGTTTCTCCAAATATGTGGAATGTTAATTCTAGGACCACAGGCCTTATTATTCCTTTACCTGTGTAAAGTTATTGATAATAAACCCTCCGAAGTACCTCTCTCGGTGCCACGTCGCATTCTCTCCTTTATTTAAACACATTCCGTTGACTGGTAAAAATATCTTTTCCACAAAAGCTAATTTATTCACTCATTTTTAATCCAAAGAACATTATTAACCCCTTATTCTGTGTAAGACATTGTCCCGGGACACCTGGGGGGCTCAGCAGTGGAGCGTCTGCCTTCGGCTCAGAGCATGACCCCAGGGACCCGGGATCGAGTCCCGCATCGGGCTCCCAGGGCAGATCCTGCTTCTCCCTCTGTCTGGGTCTTTCATGAATAAATCAATAAAATCTTTAAAAAAGAAAAAAAAAAGTCCCAAGCCCTAGGAATGATAAGCTTTTAGAAACACGGAGTCTAACATAGAGACAAGCATAGACGTGAGTTGCATAAGATACGCAAACACCTAAAACGAGATTATGCACAAAGTAATATGGGAGTAGGGTGGGGAGACACCTATTCCGATTGCAGGGATAGGAGAGGCTCTCCAGAGGAGATGGGTGACTCAGTTTGTGTTTTAAAATACAAGCAGGACATAGCAAAACAGATGGGGGGGCTGGATAAAGATGTAAAGATGGAGTGGGGTCCTAAGTGTGGGGGACGAAGAGCGGGGGAGAGCACAGAGGCACTGTGCAAACATTGTGTGTTTAGAAAATGGTAAGTAGTTTCACACTGGTTAAGTGACGAGTGTAAGGAGGCAAAAATACAGGAGGAATGTGATCATAAAAGGCCATATTAATTAAGCCAACATATGAGGGCTGATCTTTGCATCGGGTGCATGGGGAGCTGCTGAAGGCGGAGACTTCAGCGGTGAGATTCCCAAACATTTGGAGGGTGAAGCCCCCGCCATGGAAGACTTTCTCCGAGAGGAGAGTAGGAAGGTGGGAAGAGTTGTATAAACTGTCCTCAAGCACCTGCTTTGAGCCAAAACCCCAGCAAGACAGAAAGAGGGGCAGAGACAAAAACAGATTCTTCTTGACCAGCCTTGAAGGCCTGCTCCCCATTGCACGCGTATCCTCACACTGCATCCCCACTCCCGGCAACCCTAAAGCAAACTTGCTATCTTCATTTCACGCATACCCAAACTCAAGTTAAGTGGCTTCACCAAGGTCGTTTAGCTAGTAATTAGTATTCCTGGTGCTCCAAATTAGGTTTGGACATGACGTCAAAACTTCTTGCCTCTGAAGGTCACTGGCTCTGAAGATTTGGGACTAATCATTGCTGGGAAATGAGAGCCAGTGGATTTAGTGTGCTACTACTGGGTCTTGAAGCTTGGAAGGAGAAGGAAATAATTAAAGTGATATTCTAAAATGATATACGCAACCTCTAGATAAACTTACCACATGTTTGCCTAGGCTCTGGGGAAACTGTAAGAGAAAAAAAAGGAGTGCAAATTATTAAAATTTCATTTACATTATCTCTGCTATAGTCATTGTGGGAAAGGGTGGTTTATCGTGTTTCAAGTTCATAAATTGTCAAGTCTATGAGTTAGGTTTAATAGTGCAGGGTTTGCCTAATACGATGTTTTCCCATCAAAACTTCAAATGTTATAAACTCATGAGCTAGTTCTAGAAAAACGTTTTCACGAATTTGCCCACTAAACGTGATGGTGATCGTAAGAATATTCAGATTTTTGAGCACACATTTGATTACGGGGTGGTGACATGCCCAACTATCCACGCAGCCAAAAACATTTAAAGCTCCTCATCCCCTTGATTAATCTCAAAACAGATTTATATAATTATAACCCCTGGAGAGTTCAGCTTACACCTTTGTTTAAAAATTCAGAAAATAGGCCCAGGCTGCTTCATTCTCTAGTTTAACTGTTGCTAAGTTGTTTGCGCGTCTACTGGATCCAGGGTAATTAATGGCTCTTTCCAGAAACTGAAACACATCTTGGGTGAAGCACATGTACTTAACTAAACAACGAGTGGAAATGTGCTTTCTGAAAGCCGAGAGAGCTCTGCTAATCTGGTCTCCGAATTGCAAGAATTGGGGACAGAACGGTGGGCCTGCAGTCTCCGCCACCGCCGACCCACCGACTGGCACTGCCGACTGCTGGGTTCGTTCCCTAGAGGCCCCTCGTCTTGGCTTCCTGCTCCACATCGCATGACTGGGGCTCTAGAAACAACCCCCTGCTATTCACCACTTGGAATGGGGAAATCCATTGATAGAATCGTTCTTTTTCATACTAATACCTAAGCCCACTCTTGGAGAAAGAAGTCTCAGTGTATGCGATTATTTCTCTACTCCTCTGCACACTGTACACAACTCCTGGCGGCTGCTCACTAGAGCAGTGGGGTGGTAGGGTATTCCTGTAGCAGGAATGCCCTACAACAGCTGGCCCTGATCTCACCAGCTGTTGCCCTGCTAAAATACGTGGTGCGAGGCTCACTGCTATGCCACAGCCCCCGTGGTTAGAATACTCCATTGAACTTCTCAAGAGAAGGAGCCCAGTGTAGAGCAAATGGAAGACCCTTCTAGGAGCCCATCCCAGGTACATGGTGGTGGTGTGATTGTATGGCTGGGGGTAAGATTGTCACCTATTGTTGTGGGAGCAGTTGTATGGTTAGTGCTTGTTGCGGGTGAAGTGGACGTATGAGTCTCATCTGCAAGGAAATGAACAGAGAATAAAAGTTAATGAGTTTGTCATAAGGAAGGGCAACCGAATCTTCACTGCAGGAGTCCTCCTTGGAATGAACGCTTGCTCTTTTTTTTTTTTTTTGTGCTTATTTTTAAAATAAGAAAATGAATCAGCACTTTCTCTACCAATGGCCTTTTAAGAATACCAACATTTCCAATAATTAGGGCTTGACATCACGTAAGTCGGGAGAAACTATCCACTCCTTGGTGCGCTTCTTACCTGATGTGCCATCTTCCTCACACTACTCCTTTCTCCTTCAATTACAACTTCCTTATTTTAATTCCAAATATGGATACCAGTTACTCTTTATTATTAATTATTATTATTATTATTATTATTATTATTATTCATTGCCTGCCAGCCTTTCTACATATTCAGTTCCCACATCAATCCTATAACATGGATATTATAATATCCTTTTTTTTTCCTTTTTAACAGAGGAGACACACACAAATTATGAGTAGCTTATGCATAAGTCAACGAGGCTGGATTTGACCCCCGGCGGGGCTAGAGGACACAAGAGCCTATTATCTTTCTTCTTTGCCATCAACGTTCACACTACGAATAGCAAAATAAAATATGCAAAGAAAAAAGAAAAAAGCTTCCTGGCAAGTTTATCTTGTCTAATTTAGTATCAATATGTGAAACTTGGTAAACCGGGAAACCTCCAAATGATGTCTGGCCTGAGGTTAAAGGGCTGCAGGGCGTCCCTAGCTTGCACGTCACTGTCCCCCCTCACCCGGGGCTCGAACCTGAGGAGCTGGCATTGGCCGGGATGCTGGAGGCGCGCGGAGGCGCCGCGGAGCTGCTGCGTGCGGGCGGGGGGGAGGCTACTGGGGTGGCAGCTGGGTCTGCGGGGAAGGTGCGGGGGGTGGTCCACTCTCCCGAGGACCCTGCAAGCACAAAGGCCGTCGCCGCTGGCGTCGTGTCTGCCACACAAGGGGACGGCCAGACGGGCCCCCCAGCGGACCCCGGACGCCGAGGCCCAGCCCCGGGGGCCCTTGCTCTGTAGAACCGCGCAGACACCTGCAAGGTGCGTGGAAGAGGGGGTTCGGCTGGGACCCCGGGCGCACGCGGACCGTGCCATCGGGGCGCGCACTGCCGTTCCGGGGGCCCCACCCCGAGAAGCCCCCCCTGGGTGGCGGGTGGCCTTGGGTGGCAGTGGGAATGCACCCAGGGGACCGCGTGGGGGGCTGACACCCCAGGCCGGCCGCGGAGCTCCGGGTGTGCAAGCCCGGGTAGAGGGTGGCGGACGGGGAAGCGCAACCTGCCCTGTGCACCCATGGGTGCGCCTCTCTGGGTGCAGAGGGGAGCTGGAGGGGTGCTGGGTACAGGTGCTTCGGGCCACTGTCGGATGCCTCGGCCTCCCCGCCCCCAGGACACCCCCTCCACCGTAGGGGCCTCTCCCCGGGGGGAAAGCAGGTGGCTCTGGAGCCCGCGGCGCCCGATGATCCTGGCACCTCTCCCCTGGGGTGCAAGCCCCCCCCCAGGAGCACACCGATAGAGAGGCGGGGGTCAGGGGGTCAGAGCTCGGGGACCCCTCCCGCCCCCCAACCCCGCCCCCGGGCATCGCGCAGCGCCCACCGCGGGGCCGCACCCAGAGCACCCCAACCGCACCTGCCAAGACTCTGGGTTTGGGTCTCGGCTCATCTCCCCAGTCCGCCCCCCACCCGCCCCCGGTTTAACTGCGCCGCCACGGAAACCGTCAGCAGCAGCTCCCCAGGCCCTTTCCTGCTTTAAAAAATAATAATAATTTTTTTTTTTTTTTAGACCCAGAACTGGTCCTCTGCCAAGTTTTAAGAATCGGCGGGTTTGTCCCCTGCCTTCTAGCGTGTTCTTTCCCCGTCCCCTGCGCAAGCCTGGCCTCCCCCCCACCCTCCACCTCCCTGCCCAGGCCCTTGCTCTCCAGCTCCTCCCCCCCCCGCCCCCTCCCTAAATCCCCTACCTCCCTATTTTATAGGAAAACTACAGTTCCCTTGCGTAGGTAATCTCTGAGCTGCTTTCGGAGTGACTTCTACAATTTTAATTAGGGGAATTAATAATCCTAATCAGTTTTTAATCAGTGCAAGGAGCGGCTTGGAGGGAGGAGTCCCCTGGGGAGGGCAGGGCGCCTCCGGTGAGGGACCGCCCAGCTCATGCACCGCCTGGGAATCCCTGGCTTTGCTGCAAGCTCCACTTTTTTTTTTTTTTCTCCCTGCGGTTTTGGGGAGCTGGCCTGGGTGGAACGAGGCGGGGCCGAGGGCAGCTCCCTTGGCAGCTCTTAAAGCAGGTGCACAGCCTGTCATGATCTTTGCGCCAAGGGAAGAGCGTTAATACTGAAAAAAAAAAAAAAAAAAACATCATTCTCCGTGCTTTGCTTGATTTCCGTATTCAATTCGCGCTTGAGGCAAGGCCACTGCGGTGCCAGCCCCGTGGGCTCCCCCATTTAGATCTTTGAAATGATCCGAGGCCCTCGGGGCCTCTACACCCTTGCAGGTGTCTGCGCGCATCCCGGTTTCTCGGGATAAAAAAAGACACCAGGAAGCGATGGAGACGCTGACTTTGGAAAGACCAGGGGGAGGATGCTTTGCCTTGTTTCTATACACGGAGATGCTCAGCTGCAAAGAAGCTTTAATATTTGAATGGGGACTGGGAAGCATCTATTTCTTTTTTTTTTCCCATTCTCGAAAAAAAAAAGCAATTAAATTGTGGTTACGATTTCTCAGTGCCCTTCATTGACGATGGAAGTCATTCACCCTTCACGATTTTGTTTATTGGTCAGAGGTCTTTAAGCAACAAATCACATATATTGTTCTTTATTGCCAGCAAGAAGTTTTCACTGGGCAATGGTGCTGGCCTCAAATAGAAACATATAGAGCACCCTACATAACTGTTTCCCCCAAAACAGGTCTGTCCTTTATTCTCGAAAGATTCCTTCTGGGCAATCTCCTCTCTGCCACAAGGACCTGAGTGGTGCGGCCTCACAGACTAAGCGTAACCAGGAAAGTAGGAAATTGCAAATTCACCAACTGGCAGGTGCTACCCGTTTAGCAAGTGGCTGGACTCCCTCACAGTGGTCTTAAGCCTGACAGCCCCGCAAACCTGATGGGTCATTCCTGCCTGGTGCAGGGGTGCGTGCGAGAAGGGCAACAGTGCTGCTGGGTGTCTGCGGGTCGGGTCCGGCAGAGGATGCCTGCGAGCCTGTGTGCGTGAGGAGAGGCAGCTGTGTGACACCTAAGGTAAGAAAGTGAGATCATTTCAGTATTTCCCCGCAGATGAGACATTTAAATACTAGGAGGTTATAACTATATTTGTTTACCAGACCGTGAAATGACTCAATCTATTAAAATGTGTGTCTGCCTCTACTTAAATTCACCTGGCAGGAAGGTGGCACCTGAGTCCTTGATTTACATATTCCCAGAGGCTCCCTTTGGGCCATGATATCACGGATGACTCAGGTTTCCAGGTGGCTTTGGACCCCCTAGGCCCTAGGAGCTTTTTGAACCAACCCTCCTTCAACCCGACACACTGAAAGTTGAGATAGTGCTTTGTAGGAAGAATCAGGGAAGAATCCCTCAATATACAATATATAATATGCAAATCGAAAAAAGAAAAATGGGCAAGACATGTAACAGATATCTAATATATACAGTGGCCAAAAGGCATATGCAAAAATGCTCATCACATGACACTTTTTCAATGTAAAAATGAAATACTTTAACTATCACACTAGGTTTATTATATCTAGTATTGGAAAAAAATGCGGGGAAACAGTTGCACACACGCACACACGCACACACATTGTCACCGAATCCCATGTCTAGAGTCTGGAAGGTTTACCACCAATATAAACAGTATCTTTAAAGGATCAGGATTTGCAGAAATAGTGCTTTCATTGTGCCTGTGTGTAAAGTAAATACTATATATATATGTATACATTTTAATATTTATAAGCATAAGTATATACTTTGTATAGACTTCTATATTGGTGTTTTGCAAAAGGCATAACACATTTTTATAAAAATAATATTACATGATTATGGGGATCCCTGGGTGGCGCAGCGGTTTAGCGCCTGCCTTTGGCCCAGGGCGCGATCCTGGAGACCAGGGATCGAATCCCACATCGGGCTCCCGGTGCATGGAGCCTGCTTCTCCCTCTGCCTGTGTCTCTGCCTCTCTCTCTCTCTCTGTGACTATCATACATAAATAAATAAAAATTTTAAAAAAATATTACATGATTATGTTAATTATTGGTGAACGATTCTGAAAACGTTTGAAGATATTACAGCGTTAGAAAAATGGATTGAGGGAATTTTTCCCCCCTATACTTGTCAGTAAGCAGGAAATTCCGATTGTATCCCACAGCATAGATCAATTACAAACAAAAATTAAATAACACATACAGATTTTACCCCAGTAGATAATTGAAATATCACCTGATAGCAAGATGACTCTCTAGAGGGGAAAAAATGGGTTCTTTTATTGGAAAGTGTAAGAAAACCTTCCAAGCTAATCTCACTAGCAGTATTATTGTGCTAGGGCAAGTTAGTATTAATATCGTTCATCTTCATTCCCAATATATTCCATTTTAAACATTTCTTCTCACATTTTGCTTCATATGGAATGGTGTATGCATGTGTTTGTGTACAAGAAGTGAAATGCGGAACCTTTGAAATGGAACCTCTGAAGTGTGCCATTTATTCAGGAAAAACCTTGAGCCTGAAATGTTCTACTTAGCCATCAACACCCTCATCCTCACATTCCTTTTTTTTTTTTTTAAAAAAATTTTGGGTCATGAAACCGAATGCTTGCAATGTTCACAGAAGTCCTGGCCACTACTCTGCTGGGGCAGCAGAGAAAGATGGAATGTTCGGTTCTGTAATCAACATAAGGAGGCATTTATCATTTATTTAACTGCATATTACAGGCAAGAAACTTTATCAATATGGTATTCAAAACATTACAATGTACCCCCCAATTTCTCAGATGGTGCCATACATACGCGTTTTCCAAACCGAGATTAATGGCAAATAGCTTAGGCTCTGATCGGAGTATGTCTATAAACCTACTTGCCTCAGAAAATGACAGGATGGCACATTATTTCAGAAAAGGCATAAACAAACCTCACGATGGTTGATTTAGGTACCGAATACACTGACAGAACTAACACTAAATAAATATAGAATGAGCAAATCACAGATTTATTGGGATTCCGAAGAGCCTCCGTGGTCTTCCGTGGAAAGAAAATGCCTCCCACGTCACTGGTAGTTTGTTATGAATGTGGCCACAGAACCTTAAATTAAACCATTAGGACTCTCAACCTTGATTATTTTTTTTAATAATGCAAATATCCCTGGAGGAAGTGCACATAGCAAAACTGGATTATTCATCCCTAGTGTGGTTTTTTAAAAAAAATAATTTGTCTATCTCCACTAATTTTCTGATATTGAGAAACTGGAGTTGAACAGAGAAAGGTTCTTCTTCGGAATTACAGCCAGGGAGGGCTTGACTGACAAAGCCTTGAAATAGTGAAATCTGATGTTCAGAGCTGCGAAAAACTTAAGAAAGCAGAAACCGGGCCGATGATGCAGAGCGTGTAGCTCAGAGGTTGCCCAAGAAACTCCCCTCCTACCCCCCAACGTGACTTGTGGGGGGCCCCCCTTCCACCCCTCCTTGCCAGCATGCATTCATTACTTTGGTCAGTCAGTATTGCATGAACACCTAGACGTCCTACACTTTGCACACTTGAGTAACATCACACATAGAAGCTGCACATAGAATTTAGAGAAAAGCTGTTCTGATAACTTTCGAATTCAAAAAGAAAGACAAGTGCTCCCAAACTCATTTCAGTTAACACTTCCGCGCCAACCTGTCACATCATGCGAATTAGCATTATCCAAAGAATTCCGGGATTCTTCAGTCGATGTACTACTGTCTGGACTAAGAGGACGCGTGGTCTCTGATGAGTAATTTTCTCTTTCAGAGATGCTTGGGAGTGAGAATGCAGTGGTGCGGGTGGGTAAGGGGTCGCCTGGAGTACTGGGCTTTTCTGTTGAGTTCAGTCCTATTGTGTTCATGGGAGATGGAAAAAGGAAAACAAATTAAGTGTGTGAATCATATCCTGCAACATATACTCATCTGAGTTTACTAACTGCCCAGTCCTTTATGGCACGCATATAAATATTTATACATACCTGTGTATATGCACGCACAACATACAGACATGATATATGGTCTGTGTATATATACATATATGTGTACACGGTGTGTGTATATGTTAGTAAATACCAATACATATATACACACATGCATATATATATATATATATATATATAAATATAGAGGTACAGATGCATAGACTTAGATATAAAATGAGCTATAGAACAAAGGCTAAAGATACAAATGGGGAAGTGAAGTTGAAAGCAACTATTCCCTGCCCTCTTCCCATTTAATTGCTAGATTCTCAGAAGGATGGAGCACAGGCAGAAAGAAAACCGATCAACAGAAATTGTAAAAAAATATATGCATATACATATGCATATAATATATATGACTTATCAATGAGGAAAAGATAAAGAGAAACTCCAAAGGAGATTATAGGAGGACTAGTGTTCCAGGAGAAAGAATGAAAGATAAAATCCTAAGTACAAGTGATTATTTTTTTAAAAAATCAGAGTCAAACAAAGCAAGGATTGGGTAAAAGGGAAACAAAGTCGCAGGTACACAAATGGCCCAAGTCTACAAAAATGTTTTCAACTTTTTGAGAATATAAGAAATACAATTTGAGAACTTGAAATAACATTTTCCGCAGTTTCAAGTCCCCTTGGAAGAAAAAACCATGTGAAAAGGTGGTGTTGAAATAGGTACAGGCCCAGCTGACTGGAGTCTATAATTGGTAAAAGCTTTCTGCAGGGCACATTAGTACCCTATACTAAAGGCCTTTAAATTTTTGGTATTCTCTTACTCACAATGTGTATTTCTTTATACAAGAATGGGGGGGGTGCAGAGATTACACCAAACGTTATTAAAAAACAAAACAAAAAAAGTGCCACATTGTGATTTCTGGATATTGAGGTTATAGTATTTTTTCTACATCATCTACCTTTACTATGTGTTTGCTTCTACGAATAGCCAAATTTATGTTTTTCAATATTCAATGAACAAAAAATTGCATGATATTATACAAGTATTTTAACAATTCAGTTCAACAAGAATGGGTAAGAGAACATGGCACGAATAAGGGAAGAGAAAGAAGGGGAGAAACTGGAAAGAGTAGAAGTGATAAGAATCAAGAACCAAAATTAAAAGATTACTGAATAGGGAATTAAGAAAATGGAAGTAGAAAGGACACACAGAAGTCCTAATTTCATTCCCTAATACCAAAGTGAAATTGATGTTTGCTAAATAGGTAAAAAAAAACATCTATACCCTCTTGAACATGCCCCAAGGCCATGCACATGAAATAATGTGGAACTCTTCTGTGGCTACAGAAATCCAAAGTGATAGTACAGTTGTTACTATCTTTGTTTTCCAAGGAAAATTTTCAGTCCCTAGAGGGTCGTAACTCAATTACTCCCAAATCAACATATTTACTGACAAACTTTCACCCATTGTACAAGTCGACAGATGTAGCTAAGTAATAGGCAAGTGGCTCCTTCTTGGCTTCAGTGTAAAATTGTAAGTCTAGCTTGACTTATTCTCTCATCTGCTCTTTGTTGAGTAAGAGGGAGGCATGGGGGTGGAAGAAAAGACAGCGGAAAGGAACAGAGGGAGAGAACAGGGAAGGGAGAGAGGGAGGAGCTTAAAATTCTATGCAATAACATTAGTACACTTTCATCGTTAGAGACTTGAACAATTTCTCATTTGTTGTTTTTAGGTTAAACTATCTTTGGTGTTGGCAGGATTCCTGTGGTACATCCACTTTGAGAGAAACGTCCTGATGTCGTCCCTTTATCACCCACTCCCACTTTTCTTTTAGATTTGAATTACAAAGAGACTAACGGGAAAATCACTCCAAATACCTCTCATAATAGTGCTGTGCTTCGTTGAAGAGTAGCATTCCTAAAGATTCTATCTCACCAAGCAAATTCACTTCAAGGTCTATGAAAAACCGGTGTTCTGAAAACTACCTTCCTACCTAGAAGCCTTAATATTCTTGAATATGTCTGAAGCTCAATGCACTTTTCCTAATTCGATGGAATAAGAATTTAACTCAGGATCAAAAAAAAAAAAAAAAAAAAAAAAAAAAAAAACCACACTCCAATTGCCAGTTCTACATTGTCCTTCATCTTCACTTTGGAGATACCACTGGTTTCCATTGATCATTTTCGTGCTGGCAACATTCGCCAGAGCCATTCTCGTTTGCATTTGGGGTCACTATTTTGACTTACCTGATGTCATCACTTGGAGGCTTGACAGTTCAGACACAATGGGAACTCTCTCAAGAAGATGATGAGTCATCTACCATTTTAAACATTCACTCCCCATTCTACCCCCTTCTTCCTCCCCTCCTGCAACAATAGCTGATTTATATGATTGAAATGAACTTAATCCTTTGTAAAAGGTGGAGATGCTAAAATGCATGAGAGTAGCCGGCATAAACCAATCACATCTATGCACTAATGATTTTCATGTTTTTATGAAACTTCTCTGCCATACCATGCACCTATAAAATCTTAATATTACATCTTTTAAAAAACAAGAGAGTATACTACTTACGCAGATTCAGGAATGTTTTATTATTTTTCACATAGTTCTTTGTTTTCGTAGTTTGGAATGAATTTTAATTACACAAATAATTCCTTTAATTACCCAATTTCCAGAACATTTCGAATGCACCTAACTGGAACTCTGCATTAGAATTATTAAATCAGAATTATCGTAGTGGCTGTACTTACCTTTTTATTGCATAACGTCAACCATATGGTGAATCAGGAAATCAGTAATACATTTTAAACAACAATAACATTTAAGTGATATAACTTATTTTCTTATTTTGCATGTAGTATGCATGAATTTATTTTTAACATCTTCATTGTTTAAATTTAACTTATCTCGTGGTTAGAATATTCATTAAGACTACTAATTCCATTGTGACAATAGAACTTAGACATGATTATGATAAAATATCTTACTAAACTCAAAGTTTCTCATCTTTATATATATGTATATACATATATATAATATGTTTAGAAGTCTAATTTCTCAGATAATTCCTTAACCGATTTTTGAGCTACAAAATTTTGTGATCTAACTTGAACTGTTTGTAACAATAAAATTTAAACAGATTGGAGCCCTGCCATGTAATTTATTACCAAGTTTAAGAAAAGCTATAAATATACACAATAATATGTATACAAATGATACATTCAAGTAGTTTCAAACTTTATATCTTATAAGCAGGAATATTAAGAACAAGAAAATATCAAGAATGATTATTATAACATTCGTCCTTATAAAATGATTTTACTAGGTAATAATAGAAAATTCTATCAACATTAAATATGTAAAGTTTGCAAAAAAATAAATAAATAAAATGCAAATATTAATTCTTACCAGAACTGGAAACATTTACTCCTGAAAAAAAGAAAACAAACATCTCTTAGAAAATGTCAAATTTCATATATATGTATATACATACATGAATACACATATACATTATATATATATATATATATATATATATATAATCTCCATGCTAGTTAACATTCACAAAGTGGCAATTTTCAGTACATTTTACCCCACTGAAGCTACATTCCTTCGCTGAATGTCATGTTTAGAAAGCCCAAGTGTGTGTGTCAAACTATGTTATTAGTTTTTGAATCTCAGGTAAAATAAGAAAAATAATAAAATAAAGGAGAGCTATTAGAATTAATCTCAAGCCTGCAAAGGATTCCCCAAAATGGATTCATTTATTTAGATAACAATTATTTATTGAGTGCCTACTTTGTGCTAGACATTACGCCACGTTCTAGGGATATAATATAACCAAGATGTAGAAATTTCCTGTCCCCATTGAGCTGAGTTCAGTGTGAGATATAGACCAAAAAAAAAAAAAAAGTCATACAATGTGATGATCAATGAGACAGAATGTGCTATAGAAGCACATAGAGGGATCATCTAATTTAGACTTCCAGGGTTGATGGCCAGCTGGTGGAGGAGGTAATAGAGAGGGTTTCTTGAATACATTTAAGCTGTGACCTAAAGGATTATGGACAGTTAGCTTAGTCCTAGAGGAGTAAGAAGTTGGGATTTGTCCTACAGGCTTTCGATAGCCATCAGAGAGAGGTGTTTAAGGGAGGTCTAATGGAGAAGCATTTTAATTTTTTATTGACCTGTTGTAGAATGGAAAATGGGTTATCAGGAACAAAGCTGGGGACAGAAACATCGGGAGACCAAAATAAAAACATGTGAGAAAGATGATGTTCTACATGAGGAAAATGGTACCAAAAAAAAAAAAAAAGAGAGAGAGAGAAAGAAAAAGAAAAAGACACGAAAAAAATCTGTGAAATATTTGAAAGTAGTTATCAAGATTTTGTGGATCCTTAAAAATAAAATAAAAGACTTTGTGGATCTTTGCAAGTAAGAAAGGCAGGGATTGAGTCACAAGGAAAACGTTCAGGTTGATGGTTTAACATACTAGGCAATTACAGTTAGGTAGATTATGGAGGCTTTCACCAAGCTAAAGGAGAAAGAAAAGCAAAAGAGACAGGAAAATTTGGTATGTTTGAGACTTTTATGTAAACATGTTTAGTAATATGTGGAGGTGGAGGTTGGTAGCTCAGGATGTGCATTCGGGCTAAGACTCTGGATCAGCATATAGACGGATATTGTGGCTATGAAGGTGAAGGAGATCCCCACTCATAAAAAAAGAGGACTGCCCAGGATAGAATCCTGAAGTTGAATAAATATTAAAGGAGAGGGACAGCAAAGGTGACTTAATTTTCTATGTAGGAGGGAAATTGAAGTCAACAAGAGTTACGAATAGAGGGTGTTTTCAAGAAGGAAAAAAAATGAAATCAAATGAGATGAGAGCTAACGTGGATCGATTGGATGGATTTATCAAGTGGGCTGGTGGGAATGTTGGAAAATCCAGTTTTATTGCTGTGATGGGAACTGGATTGAGTCTGCAGGGGACTGAGGCATGTTTTCATCCCCCTTCTTTGTAATGGCTATTAACAAGATCATAAAGTTCTTTCCCAAATGATAGTGAACTGATGTGAAAAGGAATCAAGCATCAAATAAAATAGGTGCACTAGTATATAAGGCACCTTCCTGCCTTGATGTTTTATTTTCTGATCTGAAAAAAAATTTTTCCCCTCAGAAGTATCATCAGATGAGTATGACCCAGTAGTCTTCAATGATGTTCCCTGGCTTACTCCTTAATATAAAAAGTATTCGTGTATTATATGTTATATATTATTATGTATTATTTATATTATATATAAATCATAATTATCAAATTATTAAAGTATATATTATTAAAATTTATATTGTATCAAAAATTTTCTTACTTTCTCATTACATTTTTTTTTTTTTAAGATTTTGTTCATTTCTTTGACAGAGAGAAAGAGCACAAGCAGGGGGAGCTGCAGAGGGAGAAGGAGAAGCAGACTCCCAGCTGAGCAAAGAGCCTGATATGAGGCCCATTCCCAGGACCTGGGGATCATGAACTGAGCCGAGGGGAGATGCTTAACTGACTGGGCCTCCCAACGGCCCCTCATGAAAGTTCTCTACTTTTTCTTTTCTTTTTTTTTTTTTTTGAATAGAAATTAAGTAGATCAATTTATTCAATTTATTTTTTGTATATTTCACAAGTATAATTTTGGAAGGGCCATTTGACAAATTTCAGCATTAACTGCCAACTCTATAGACATGTTCAACAAAAAAGGCATTTACTCTTGGCCCTTTTAATACAGGCAAAGTGTCCTATTGCATCACAAATGAGAGATGCAGTAACAGATCTGAGGGCTTATTAAAAGAAATTAGGTGTTTTTTCCAAACGTTATTTGGTTGATAACATAATACAAACATAACATGAATGGTTTCATGACCACCAGCAATTTGCAGAATAAAACCCGTAAGTCTACTTACTTCAAAGGCCAAAACTAGTGAAACAGTATTAAAATTGGTTTTTAAATCCTTAAATTAACAATCGCAGAACGATATTTCTTTGATCTCAATTTTGTAAGGTGTGGTGGGGGATCAGGGGGAGAAAGGATGGGGGCGCGGCGAGAAGACTGGCAGTGCATGCTGAGTTTCAGAGTTGGGACAGTGGCTCAAATTAGTCATCCAGATTAGGATAGTGTTTTAGAAAATTAAACATGTGTCCTAAATGTGGCATATTGAGAAGGACATTCAAGGATGATAATTCATCAGCCCTAAATACCATTTAATGAAAGCCATCTGGAGGCTTGAGGGGTAAGCAAGATGGGGGCAGGGTGAAGTAAAATGAGGTGAAAAAGGAAAATGAAAAGTATAAGAAATGTGTTTAATGCTGAGAAGTGTGAAAAGGCCACCAGAGAAACTTCCTTTAGTTGACACTCAAGTGTGCTCTTCCTCTAGGCTACCTGCCTCTGGATCACCAAACACCAAATTCACAGCACAATTTAAGCAGAGATTACATTTCAGCTTTGATAAAACTTCACAAGTATGGTTTTGTTACATCAAGTGAAAAGAGCAACTAATTCCAACTTTTGAAGTAAGAACAAGTAGAGAGGCCTCCCTCAGCCTGCCGTGATGAATAGTTAAGACTTATTTTTAGGTCAGCAGCACATGAGTATTGAATAACTTGTAAATAGACTGCAAACATGCTGCTGCCAGTTCATCAAAACATTCCAACAATTCTTACTATCCCAACATGCCAAGAACTGTAGTTGTTTTAGTCAGATGTAGCCTCCAAAAATGAAAAGTTTCTCAAAGTGTACCACCAAAGTAGGAGCTACTGGACACAAAACAGGTAATTTATTCCAGACGTTAGCCAATTTTCATGAAATATCCGTTACCCTCAACTTCAGTACACTCCAATATTCATTTGTAATAAGCAAGACAATTAAAATTAGCCATTTTTCAAACCACAACTCTGAAATTAGAGAAATGGACAATTAAACTCATCTAGTCAACATCTTCATTCAAGCAATGGTGAAACAGTCTGCAAATAATGTCAATAAACCGAGATTTGAGGCAGAACAAAAAACAGAAAAATTAAAAACCTCTCTATCGCCAGCACCAATAATGGAGGCTAAGCAATTATACCTACAAATTCTTGTTGACAGGTCATTCCTAATGGAAAATCCTGAGATTTTAAGTACTGTGACTTTACAGAAGGCAGGTTGGTTTAATGAGGAAACTTTTAATAAAAAGGCAATCAACAGTATTTTATTTTGGGCACTTACTGAGTATTTCACAGATCCTCAACAAGTTTTGAGGTAGGTTAAATATCAGCATTGTAATTTGCAAAATAAAACTTAAGAGGTTATATCACTTGTTGTAAACTATAGCAGGAATCCCATCATGGTCAAGAATAACATGGTCTCTGTGATCTTTCAGATTAATCATCTCAGATGTGTAAATTTAATGTTGACAGCTTGCAAGTACCCACCAAAATTTTTTCTTAAAAAGACAAGATATCACAGAAATTCTACTTTGGGGTATTGCCTATTCTTAAATGGATCCTACAATGATCATACATATTGTGGAATAATCTACTTGCTCCCATCATAAATATGTTTATATATAACTGGTCTTTAAAATTACAAACTAGAACATTACTGATTTCATTGCTTTCCTGCCTTTTGGGGTGGGTGGAGCAGGAAGATCATCAGCAAGTCTCACTGAGAGCGCTAGGCAGCCTTTAAGAGCAGGTGCTATGCTCAAGGCACCATTTACAATGATTTGGGGTCATAGGAAAGCAAGTACACGGATGGAGCCATGATCTAGAAAAGATGCCTGGATCGAAAAAGAGGGGAGGCCCTGTGCAAGTCAAAGACAAAGAAAAAAATACTATCATCTCAGGCTACTGATCTTCATTGCCATGCTATAGCATATCACCTATGGGAAGAAATCTTAAAAGAGCAGTAAATATATCCCAATGAAGTCTGTTAATTAAAATTCTTTACTAACTAGATAAACCACAAGTAAAATTAAATTGGTTATTTTATTAAAGTGACATCTATGGAAGCAAAATATCTAATTTTTTTTTTATGATAGTCACAGAGAGAGAGAGAGAGAGAGGCAGAGACATAGGCAGAGGGAGAAGCAGGCCCCATGCACCGGGAGCCCGACGTGGGATTCGATCCCGGGTCTCCAGGATCGCGCCCTGGGCCAAAGGCAGGCGCTAAACCGCTGTGCCACCCAGGGATCCCCAAAATATCTAATATTTTAATGTATGTTCCACCTACCACACAAACGACTCTAAAGGTCACAAGTATAATTCACTTAGCTTACTTAAAATTATTTACCAGAATTCAGCTCATCCTGACATGGGTTCCTGGGCCAATTTCTCAGGGATTTGTTTCAGTATAAAGTTCATTTTACTTAAACAAGTCTCAAACATTAGTAATTATACAGGATTAAGG